TTAACGCGCCTCCGTTATATTGACCAGCAATTAAGACAACAGCGCGCTTTCCAGCAGTATGGTTTGTTACAGCAAAATGCTTGGAGGCCACAGAGGGGACTGCCCGAAAACTCAGTTTCAATTCTTCGTGCTTGGCTTTTTGAACACTTCCTTCACCCGTAAGTGACTTTCTTTATACACTCATTTTCATTTGCCTGTTTTTTCTTTTGTTGTCATGACATTTTGTTGCTTTCTTAGGTATCCAAAAGATTCAGAAAAGCTGATGCTAGCGAGACAAACTGGCTTAACAAGAAGTCAGGTATTTTTTTTCCTATCATACAAAGACAACCTGTTATCTTATCATAATAACATACCCCATCCGTCCCAAAAAAAAGTCCAATCCTAACTACGAACCTGGATACATGTGTGTCCAGATTTGTAGCTAGAATTTGCTTCTTTTTTTTGGGACAAAGTAGTAGTTAGCAATCATTGGGATGTGTTTATCTAGTTAAAATAGATGGCCACGTGTTGGTATTGCTAATGCATCCGGATGTATACCCATGTGCTGCAAAATCTCTGCCATGATACTGGGCAACTGTTTATTATTTGCATGCACATCGGCCTTTTTCTCAGAATAGGTCTGAAATCTATTAAACCCTGTTTCATCAGTTCTGGAATCATACTATGTTGTAACGCTGGATGCTAATACAATTTTGGATTTGAATGGGTACAAATGTTTGTAAATTACCTTTCTTTTTGCAGAACTTTGCACTCTGCATCAATTCATTGGATAGAATTAGTTTGCTGAACTCACCAATATTCTTCTTTGTCCTAGATTTCAAATTGGTTCATAAATGCCCGTGTCCGCCTGTGGAAACCGATGATCGAAGACATGTATAAAGAAGAGATTGGGGAGGCGGATCTCGACTCGAACTCCTCCTCCGACAACGTACCAAGGAGCAAGGACAAAATAGCAACATCTGAAGATAAGGAAGATCTGAAAAGCTCTATGAGCCAGACTTATCAACCAAGCCAATTAGGTGAATCCAAAGCCAACATCGGGATGATGAGCCTTGGTGGGGCACCAGCCGGCTTCCACAACGAAGGCAACCAGGATGACAGCTTCATGAACCTAATGCTGAAGGACCAAAGGCCGGGCGAAGCCGAAGGCAGCCTCCTCCATGATGCCGTCGCCCATCATTCCGATGAGAACGCTCGGTTCATGGCTTACCATTTGTCGGGGCTCGGAAGATACGGGAACAGCAATGTGTCATTGACACTTGGCTTACAGCATCCTGACAACAGGCTTTCGGTACAGAACACTCATCAGCCAGGTTTCGCCGGTGCTGGAGAAGAAATTTACAACTCCACCGCTTCTCTCGGTGTCGCTGCAGCTTCCTCTTCGGACTACGAATCCACGAACCAAATAGATCAAAGGCAACGGTTCGAACCATCGCCTCTAATGCATGATTTTGTGGCCTAAGATGCTCAAAATACCAAAAATATATGGAGGCAAGATTTGCCTGGGGGGAGCATTTGTAATTTGTAGTGCCAGAATAACATGCCTCAGAAAGCATGGAAATTGTTAGCTGTAGTTGCATTTGGTACAGAAGAGGGGGGTATAGCATGAAATGTAATATAATTAAGTTTAGCAGGTGGGGGTTTATAGGGGGTAAAGAATCCTGTAAAAATGGAATACATCATACATGTAAAAGATTATGATTTTCAGAACCATTCTGTAAAAAAAAACACACCTGTAATGACTACTTATCATCCAGGTATATGTTGTTCAGCCTATTGACAAAATAAAAAAAGAAAGAAAGCCAGAAAAGAAAAGATCGAAGATCAATGGACAGATCGCTGGGGAATCTTCAGCTTTCTGTTCTGCATCTGCAAGTTGATGCTTCAGGCTTTATGTTACTGGAGTTGAGCACCAGCTGTTGCTCTCTCCTCTTTTATCTCTGTGGAGATGGTTTAATTTGTCGGTCCATGCACTGTTTGCCATTTCATCTCATTTCATTTCCATTACAATTTAAAATTCTAATTGGCAGCCCTTGCCGGTGCAGGAGCAGCTGCAGGATTGAAGCTGCAGTGTGGCTGCCCCAGGCCCAGGGACTGGGCTCATGCATTTTTTTTGTACGAGTAAATGCGCCCTGTTGCTGTCATGTGGGCCCGGGAACTATGGCTTCTCTGTGGGTTCGATGACCCCAAACCCAAAGGCTTTTAACAACCACCACTTGTCAATTATTGAGGAACCGGCTGAGCTGGCTTTGTGAATTGTTAAGGCGACCTCACCTCCTGCAGTTAGGACTTTGATCATTGTGGTTTGTTTAAATTGTATATATGGTTGGTTGGTATGGATTGAGAAGTTTTTCCGACTTATTAGAAACAGCCCACTCTAATTGTCATAACGTCTAAGGGTGTATTTGAGAGAAGAGAAAAGAAGAAGCTTGAGAAAATACACAAAACAAGGTGAGCCATTAGCGCATGATCAATTGAGTACTAATTATTTCAAACTTGAAAAATTGATTAATACGATTTTTAAAAGCAACTTTTCCATATTTTTTCATAAAATAAATCGTTTAGCAGTTGGAGAAGTGTGCACGCGAAAAAAGAAACAAATCTTTTCCCTTTCATGCGTTGCCGAACGCATAGGAAGTGGAGGCCAAAGTGAATCAAAGGGATCTTGTATTATCTATATCTATACTTCTTTAAAAAAGGGTGGTGATGAGTTTGCCACCACCTCACCATTGACTCTCCAAAATTCAAACATGTGGGACCAGTGCCCTCCAAACATACGATTGAATTCACGGATTGTCGTCGATGATGAACTTTTTTTAAGGGAAGAGACTCGACAAGCTTATTGAGTCCATGAACTTTTTTAAGGGAAGGAACTATTACAGTAAAGATAAGTTAATTGAGTCCGCTTTAAATATTTTACAGCTAAAATATAAAAAATAAAAATAAATATTTAATTCTAAAATTAAGCATTAAAATTCAAAATAAATTTCTTCTTTGCAATGTGCTGATGTGATTTTTTAAATTCCGTAACAACATGCGAGCATATTTGCTAGTTGCCTTAAAAAAGCATATTGTCAAGGAACTTAGTATCAATGTTTCCCGAAAGAGTTTTTTCCAATGACATGTTTACAAGAGGAATGAGACACCTAAATTTGAGCGTAGATTACCTTGGTTGATAAGGGTGTACAACCACACCTTCCACTAAATGAGCTAGACTCGTTTCCTAAATGTGCTTACTCCCACTGTCCCAAAATAAATCGTGTGCTCGGATTCATGTATAAAAGTTGGTTTACTCTAGAATGGAGGGAGTATACGATAGTGCCGATTGCCAAACATCTTGCTTAACCTAAAATTATGAACTTAAATTCTCAATTAAAATAAAGGCTTAGGTATATTTGCAATAACATATTGCTTTTTTCTTCCAAAACAAACAAATAAGTTTGCCCTAATGTCCCACTATTATATGGGCTATGAACTAAGAGAATGGTGAGAAAATAATAAAATGAGTAAATTTTTAGAAATGAAATAAAAGAATGGTATAACCTTTCAGGAGGGAATAAGAAATTTATCCGAACAAGACTGATGTTTTGGACAGCCCCTAAATCAGCACTGGCTTCCTATAATCATATGATTTACTATTATTATTTGCAGAAATAAAGAATGAACATTGGATGATATTTTTTCATGTCCTTTCGTGTATATATATATTTTTTCTGTTTTTCACTGTCTTCTCTGTTACTGATTTGCTGTGTCCACAACTCCACATAGCACCTCTGTTCAGCCTGCGCATAGGCACAGCTGAAAAAAGGGATAATAACTCTTTTATCCAATGGTTAAAACTGGCATCTGTCTGTATTTATTTTATACTTAAATGCATCTCAAATTAGATTCACTGCATACATTACTTTAGCAATATCAATATCACTATATCAGGCATCAGTCCAATCCTCCAGTTATTTCCAAGTACAGTACTTCTCTATTTCACAGTAGAATCCAGACTGTATTTATTTTCAAGAGAAAAGGAAAAACCAAACATTGCATTGTATTGTACAGTATTATGAGCTAGCATATATTGAAAAAAAAAAACATTTGGAAGGGTGATAGGCGTGCGTGGATTGGTCAAAAGTGGGCAGTTCAAAGCACAAACGAGGCAGGCCAGTTTGAACGGCACTGTAGAGATCACCTGAACCAAAAAGGCACCACTGCCCCAGGAAAGAAAAACAAACAAACAGCACTCCTCTTCTTCCTCTTAGGATCAGTCCAATCAAATCAATGGACAGCTCCTCTCAATGACACCTCCCAAAAACTGTATTTTGACCTCCTCCTCCTATTCACTCTCACATCTCTCTCTCTCTCTCTCTCTCTCTCAGCATCTACTACTAGGAGTAGTGGTACTATATCTTTCTCTCTCTAAAAGAGAGGAACTGATCACCTGTTGATGTGTGATGTGTCTGTGCTGTCTATCCATTTATGTGCATGCCACACTTGTTAGTTGGTTACCCTTACCATGCATGATCCAGCAAGTACCACACATATGTGTGTGCAGCAAGACCAAAGTGGTTGCTGCTTTGCTTGGCTCCATGCACAGGCTCTCATCAGCTCTCTGCATGTCATGTGCACTCTCCAACTCTCTCCAAGCATTGTTCAGCAGCTAGCCAGCCAGCCAGCCAGCAACAGAAGATGCAGTGGGCACCCCAGGAAAAAGGCTCTGGTCTTTCCATAGATTAGGGCAGCTACACAATGCATAGTGTGCATTGCTTGCCCTTTCTTGAGATTCTACAACACATACTATGGTCTATATCTACCTTCCTCTCATCCACACTCTAGACAGCAATAGTGTCATGGTGTGTGTATGTGTGTGAGAGAGAGATTGTAGTAGTAGTGTGTATCAGTGTATGCCTTTGCAGGTCCAGCTAGCCAGCACACAACACACACACAGGGAGCTCAACTCGATCAGCTGAGCTAATGCATATGCAGTCTCCAAGAAAAAGCTAGTACCAAACAGAGGGTAGTGAAGTATAGTAGATAGGTAGAGAGGAGGCAGGACAGTACTCCTCCTGAGTAGCAGCAGTAGTATTGTAGTAGCAGGAGCAGCAACTAGCAAGTATAGTGACAGGGGAAATAGCAAAGGATGGTGACAAAACAAATGAGCTACTACTAGTATTGTAGCACTAAAGTTGCAAAGTTTGAATACCTTCACTCATGTGGTTGGTGTTGTTTCAATGCAAAGATGATGGTCCAAGGTGCACAGTGGCCATGGCCAACCTAGCCAGCTACTACCGAGTGGCAGTATATGCAGCACTATACAGTAGTAGTAGTATGGCTAGCTCAAGCTCATCAGTGTTTATATATATATGCAGTTGTGAAGGCTCTCATCAGTAGCATACCTCTTTCTGTGGCACATATGCATGTACACATAACCATTTGGTTCTCTCTACCTCTTTCTTGCTGCTGATTCAGTTGCTCATCCAAGGCAAGAGGTATGCACATTGTTTGCCTGTCAAGTGTCAAATACTCCCTCCGCTTCACAATGTAAGTCATTCTAGCATTTTCCACATTTATATTGGTGTTAATGAATCTAGACATACATATCTATCTAGATTAATTAACATTAACATAAATGTGGAAAATGCTAAAATGACTTACATTGTGAAACGGAGGAAGTACTACATATTGTCAATACATCTCCTAATTCTGATGAAAGTAAAGTATCAGTGTAATGATCTTTTAATCAGGGTGATTTTGTTGTCATTACCATTTTACTACCAGTTTGTCAAATGATTCAGAAGTTTTACTACTACCATTAATAATTTGCACTGAAAATAAAAGTGGTTTCAGGTCACTCACATGGTCACCTGACTTGAAATCAGGTGCTTGCAGTTTTTGTTGCTGTTGTTTTGTTGCAGGTAGTTAACTGAAGATTGCAAGGTGAGACTGACAATGGTGGCCAGCAAGCAGCTCCACTCGCAGCGATGTGGCGGCCACTACTGCCAGCTGCACCACCACCGGCCGGAGGAGATCGCCGGCGCCGGTGCCGAGAGCCACCGGAGGGACGGGTCGAGCGGCTGCGGCGGCGCTGGTCCGATGGTCGTGCTGACCCTCGGGTCCGGCGCCGCGGCGGCTGAAGACGACGGTGGCGGCCGCTCGCGCTGCTGCTGCGGTGCCGGTGGCGCCGCGCCGGCGACGATGGTTTCCGCGTTGCGTGGTTCGAGGTACCTGCTGCCGGCGCAGGAGCTGCTCCGCGAGGCGGTGTCCGCCGCCGCCGCCAGCGCGCGAGGTGGCGACGACGACGACGAGGCGGTGGCGAGCTTCCCGCACGACGGCAAGAGCACCGGCATTGGCGGCGGCGGCGGCGGCGTCCAAGCCAAGCTCCTCAGCCTTCTCAGCGAGGTCCGTACTTACAATGCAAAGCCCTCCCCCTTCTCCTCCATGGAATTTGGATCGAGGCATCGAGCGAGTAATAATGGCTAACCCATGGCGCTTTCTCGCCGCCGATTCGCCCCCCGCGCGCTGCAGCTGGAGAGCCGGCACGAGCACTACTTCGGGGAGCTGAGGCGGGTGTCGGCGTCGTTCGAGCCGGCGCTGGGCGCCGGCGCCACGGCCGGGTACACGGCGCTCATGGCGCAGGCCATGTCGCACCACTTCGGCAGCCTGCGCCGCGCCATACTGCGCAAGCTCAGGCTCCACGCCGCCGCGGCGGCCAGGACGAGGTCGGCGTTGCTGCGGCTGGCCCGGGACGCCATGGAGGAGGACGACGAGGGCGACGGCGAGGAGGAGGAGGAGGTGGTGAACAGGGTGGTCCGGCGGACGAAGCAGGCGGCGGCGGCGAGGGCGGAGCAGGCGTGGAGGCCGCTCCGGGGATTGCCGGAGGACGCCGTGGGCGTGCTCCGGGCATGGCTCTTCGACCATTTCCTCCACCCGTAAGCCGTCCAAATAATCTCACTTTCACTGTTTCACACTGCGATCATATAGTGTCTTGCAAATAAAACTATGTCTAATCAAATAGTTTTTCCTAAAAGTTATTTGAAAATGGGTCATGTGAAGATTAAGGAAACAGTTACTCCCTCCATTTCATATTTCCGTTTCATATTGTAAGTCACTTAGATTTTTTTTTTCCTTAGCTAAACTTAAATTATTTAAGTTTAATCAAGCTTATATAAAAACATAGGAATATTTTTAACACAGAATAAAAATACTATAATAATATATTTAATGTTCGATTTAGTAAAATTGATTTAGTGTTGTAAATGTTACTACTTTTTTATCCATGTTTAAAGAAGTTTGATCAGAGAAAAAAACAATTGAGTGTGAAATTCCATTAACAAAGTTCATTTTTAGCTCTAACCAAACTCTTTTGAGGCTAGTATTTTATTTGTCATGTGATTTATATTTTCCTATCTATGATCATCTTTTTCAAAACCAGTAATACATTTTCTAACAAACAATACTTCAACTTAAAATTGAGAAAAAAAAACTCCTACTTTAGTACGGATCCTTACCAGTATGAAGAAAAATAATATATTAAAGCTGCAGTTATTTTTAATATTGGGCACGTCTAATGTATACAATGGTGAAATGTTAGGTAAACAAGATGATCAATGAATAGCGAAACTAAACTCCTTGATCAAGAGGAGATCAAAATGCTAAACCAAGCTACTACACTCACAGTTCAAATTTAAATAAATTTCTGCAGGTATCCGAATGACAACGAGAAGCTCATGCTGGCCGTGGCTACGGGTCTAAGCAGAACCCAAGTACGAGATTAATTAACAACCGTCTCATTGATTAATCAAACAATATTCTGCGTGCTAACACTGACACATTGCTGCATAATCATATATAGATATCGAACTGGTTCATCAACGCGCGAGTGCGGCTGTGGAAGCCCATGGTGGAGGAGATGTACAACGACGAGTTCGACGACGACGACGCCGGCAGCGGCGGCGGCGGCGCTTCGTCCTCCTCGTGAGCTCCTCGCCGGCCGGAGTTCATCCTTGATCATGATGGGGAATATGCGTGCTTGCTTGCAACTTTGCAAGAGTCCAATGGATCGGGTGGCCGATCGACGCATCATATCAGAGCCTATATAAATCGTTCTAAGCATTAGTTTTTCTGAGATTTCTGCTCATGTTTCCGAAAAACTTTGCGTTTAGTTTTGTTTCTGGAGGAGTTATTGGATGCAGAAGCTTCTTTGTTTGTGGTAGCGTGGGTGAGTGCACCTTTGTAGTAGTGAGGACTGAGGAGTAATTCAGGCTTGCAGCTCTGAAGCTAGGAAAGGGATTGGGTTTGTTCTACTCTTCTTTTTTACTATTTCTTTGATTTGATTTGGAAGAGATCAAGCTTTTGATGCGAATGAAACAGTGCTACTAGTAGCTTTGTTGGGAATACTATCCTCTAGTTCTGAATCCCAAATTGGCTGGACATTCTCATCATCGATCAGTTTGAGATTTCGCCCTTCTTGGGTTTTTCTTTCTACTGCTGGCTGCTCCATGAGGACCAAGATAGGCCACATTATTTTCTGATTAGATATAGATTTTACCCGTTAGAACATTTTTCAAAACGCTAAACAACTAGATAATATGTTTCATATTGATTTAAAATATTAAATAAATTTATTTTTAAGTTTATAATAATTAATACTCAATTTATTATATGCTAATGGTTTTCTTGTTTTCTATGCCCTAACGGCCTAACCTCATCTTCATTATAAACGAAAATATACGTATAAATTCTGCTTTAGAGAGAGAGAGAGGAAGTCTACTTCCTCCGGAGTCCGGACACACAAAAGAGGCCTTACTTATGACTTAATTGGGCCTCTAATCGGTTCACTTAAAAACCAAATGGGCCTTTACGTATAAAAGTCCACTTCTTGGCAAACAGAGAATGACAATCCCAACTAGAAACATATAAAATAAGCCCACGTAAGGGCCCTGCAAACAGAATCTCCCAGCCAACCCCAAAGACACGAATGCACCATGTCTACAACATAAGGGAACTAAACTAAAGATCAGATTTGTAATAAGACGATGAAAATGACAAGAGTTCTAGACGATGTCATGTCATGAGCAGAGAACACTGGCATTAACACCAAGGAGAGCTTAAGGCGACAATTTTTTCCCCAACATGATAGGCCTAAGGGGGCACTACGCAGGCATCACGGTAGTATGCTACTACTATGCGATCCAAAAGGTGATACTTAGTACTGTATTAGTGCTCTAGCTCAAGAGCATTACGGCCGTTTTCTGGACAATAAATATATTACACAAAACGTGCAGCCAAAGCCAGTGCTGGTAAACTTATCTAATCTGATGGCTTGAAGCTTTTTGTAGTAACATGATGCTTCTTCATCGCCTCGACCGCCTCCCTGCAAGTGTGAAATCAAGTTAGCCACAAGTTCAACTTGGTTCCACGTGTTTAGACTAAACGGAAAAAAAGGTGCAGCTTGAGAGATATTTCAAATGCATACACCATTATAAAGTAATTAGTTGAATCGAGAGCATAATACACAAACATGTTCAATCTTATTCAATAAACTGTCCAACATGATAGAAATGGAACTCGGTTTAAGACAGAATACCGGAATACTTTCTCCATCTCAGCATTCAAAGGATCCAACTTCAGTCCAGCCAAGAATGCGTCACATGCCTTTTCATACTCCTATGGATAAAAAATTGGGGAGATTACACAAAGGAAGTGACAAGAAAAAAAATAGTGCAAGGTGAAGAAACAAAGATTTTATCTGACCTTCAGCAACATGAGAGCAGCCCCTTTCCTGTAGTAACCTTTTAACCATTCAGGCCGCGATTTTATGCAATAATCAGCATCAAACAAAGCTTCGGTCATTTGAAGATGGCAAAGGCTCCTATTGGAATACAATGTTGCATCAGTAGGATCCAGCTCAATTGCCTGCATCAAAACACAGGATCAAGATGCTCAATTACCCAAGAGAGCGAAGTTTGTTTGAGAAAGTAGGCAGAACTTCTATCGTATCATAAAAGGCAGACAACATCCTATTTTTGATGCGCTGGAAGATAGCAACAGTCCACATTACAGAAAACACCGGTTCCCATGTCTATCAATGATAACAGGGGTATATTCATGCTCCGTGATAGTTTTGAACAGAAACATGAGTAGACTTCTCGAAACATTCTGGACATTGTTCTAAAAGGTTTGCTGAAGCTTGTATGAATTGTTTCCAACAATAAATGCACTCACAATCACTGTGCTGTTTGGCTAAATAATTAGGCATGCTATAGTAATACAAAATCATAATAAATGTGTGAAATAATTTTAGACAGACCTATAATAAGATAGGCTTATAATAAATACACTCACAAGCAGAGGCTACTCCATTCAGTCGAAAATATATTTATGTATTTATGTTTCATAATAAATGTACTCACAAGCAGAGGTACAACTTTGAATAAGATCATAAAATCTTAAAAGTTAATGATATTATGAAACTTCTTTTCAAAACAAATACAAACATACCAATTTTATGTTTTGAAACTAAGTATTTTATAATTTCTTGATCAACTAGAAAAAGTCAAATGACATATTCTTTACTAGAGAGAGTATTTTTCTATGTCTATCCATAATTCCATATATGTTGCAAAGAAGATATATCCAAGCCAACAAATCGGATTTTCTTTCATGGAAAAAAATGTGGCTTGCTCATGTCATCGTACCTCAGTGTAGAAAATTGAGGCGCCATGGTAGTCCTTTCTCTTAACAGCTTTCTCACCCTGTAGTTTGAGCTGAGCCTTTTTATCCTGCTCATCATGCTTGTCCTTAATAGCTTTCTCACCACGTAGTTTGAACTGAGCCTTTTTATTATGATCATCCTGCTTGTCCTACATCACGAAGAAAAACCAATTTAGGCATATACCGATACCAAATGTCCAAAATCTTTTGAAGATAAAAATAATTCGATGAAACAATTTTATATAGCAACAAAAGTCATAGGCATTTTTAAAATATATTGGATTTTGATTTAAAAATGAAACCACAATATAAGGTGCAAACTGAAACAATGACCTGCACTCTTGTATGTTTCAGAACAGAACACCACACAAGGGTGATACAATCTCTTATCTGATATCCCACTCGCATTGTTGGAAAATAATGGTACTAATTAGTACATAGGTGCAACATAAACCAATCCAAGTGAAAGGGCCTAGCAGTTATAGTTCTCAAGTAGCACGTCTAGGTCTTACGTTTGACTCCCCACAGGAGTGAATTTCAGCTCTAGTTAAACTCGCTAGCCCCTCGTAAAAATATGTGTTAAGAATCGACCTATGAAGGGCAGGCCCTCGTGTAGGGGGTAGGTGCCTCAAAGCATGGGTTAAGTTCCTAATTGCAACAATAGAATAATCACCCTCCTATAATTTTTCTCTACAAAGTTGTTTCACATTTTATATTGATATAAAAATAAACAAGTAGATTTTTCAACTACTTGATATTGCTTCTCAACAACTATATATGTTTCCTGCTCTAAACAGTAAAATAAACAGCACTATGTTAGAAGTTTGTTGGTACAAACTCAGCTGGAAAACTGTTGTGTTTCTTTGGAAGTAAATAGTATGAACTAGAGAAAAGAAGATTGTCAATAAACTCATGTAACCCAACATGTCAGTGCAAATTTTTTATGCTATAAAAAATTGACAGATACATAAGGAAATACAGAGCAATCACAATGAATTATTCACATTCACACCTTGGGCTTTGAACATTTTGATCTGGCATGCTTTGATTTGGCATGGGCAAGAATTCCTTCAACAGTCCAGTTTGACACAGCTCGAATGGGGGAAGTTAAGGGAAACAGTAATTCCACATCCTTTCTTCTTCCATAGCTTGCAGCAAGTTGTATTGGCAAGGCACCACACTGCAAAGTAACAGAATAACAATTATATAACTACTACCTCAAAAGCAATTTAGACCAAGGCAGGAATATCACAAGCATTCATTATACAAATAACATAAGTAGTATATTAGGCAATTAATAAATAGAAACGTGCATAAATAGATGGATCTATTATGCCATTTCAGGTGAATTTAAATGTCATCTGAGCTTCACTTTAAATGTCTTGTGAGCTACATCTTATAGAAGTCTCAACATCAGTCAACCCAAAAACCAATTACATACTAGCAAAAAACTTAATTGTTTCTACACGTGCACAATTCATTCCAACATTTTAGTTACTCATATTAGTAGTCAGATCCAACTCTCAATAGTCAAGGCCCAAAGGGTCACGGTGACAAGTCACAATTATATAATGGGGGTATAGCTAGAACTGATCTCAACTTTTGGATAAGAAAAAGAAACGAGCAAGTAAAAATGAGTACAAAAACTCACATGACAAGTTGGGATATTAGGGTCTGCACCAGCCTTTAGCAAGTATTTAATGCAGTTAGTCAAGCCATTAGTAATTGCTACCACCAACGGAGTGTCACGATCACTGAAGTTAATGTCAGCACCTGCCTATTTGTATGAAACAGACAAAATTGTCAATGCCACTGTTCATACAAATAGATTGATCACATAAAGAGGATTCAAGTTACCTCGACGAGTAGTTTTACACTACAGTGAAACAGATTCAGCTAATCCTTGAGAAGTAGCGTGAAGAGTTGCAACCAACGGTGTACCTAACTCTTCTGAAACCTTGTTTGGCTACATTGGGAAAAAATATTGCTTTTAGTGAAAACATACTGAATGGCATTTGTTAGAGAATATGCCAGATATTAAATGCTGGGATATAAATATAGATGCAAATTAAATGCTGTTATTCTTCTTAATAGAAAGATGAGCAATCCTTTTGTGCATTCCCTAAAAGGCATTTGCTCTTCTCATGAACCTCCATACTTTATTCAATTATAAGCCCTATGCAATTTACAATACATGGCTAAGTGTCAACTGCAACAACAGTTTTTCAATCCAATTGTGTATGGGAGTGTGTCGATCAATTGGACCAAAAACACAGTTTTTTCATGCATGGAGTAAGATTTATCACTCCACACTTAAAAGTTAAGGTAAAAAGGAGACTCAAGCTTGAGTGGCAAGGTTCACAACCTTGTGTGCCCACCATTGCACCCCACAGAGTATCTAAGAAATCTACCGTGTTCCTGCACTAAGATAGGGGGGATGCAAATCCATAACACTATTAGCACCTAATATCTGTCAATTACGTGTGAATGATGGAAGATCATAGAGCAAGGGCTATGGTACACAACATCAACAATAAAACATGCAAGGCATTTAAGTCTTCAATATTTGAATTCATAGTAATCCAAAATACTATAGGAGATGAATAATACTCTCTCCGTTTCATATTATAAGTCGTTTTGTCTTTTTTCCTAGTCAAACTTCTTTACGTTTGACTAAGGTTATAGAAAAATATAGATGTATTTTTAACACAAAACAAATATGTTATCAAAATATATTCAATGCTAGATTTAATGGAACTGATTTAGTGTTTAAAATGTTGCTAATTTTTTCTATAAACTAAGTTTGACTAGAAAAAAGTCAAGGTGACTTATAACATGAAACGGAGGGAGTAACAATTACAATAAAAAGGACAAGAGAAAGATCACAGTGGATCCGAGATCCAAAGTACTACATGCATGTGCATTATACAAAGTTAGCACTAAAAGCTCACTTGAAAAGAGATATAATCTATTTCTTACATCTGCATCGTGCTCCAATAAAACTTTCATGACGCTGGCCTTCCCATATGCAGCAGCAATATGTAGTGGTGTCCCATGAAAATAAGCTATATCAACGCTAGCTCCTCTAGATAGCAACAGTCGTTCTACTTCATCATGCCCTAAACAAAATGCACAAAAGTAACATGACAATATTGACATGAAAAATAAGGAATTATCAAATAAATGGCTAAACAACAGACGAGTATATATTCTTCAAAGATTCATGATTCGTAATAATAATATTTTTCCTGTCCTACCTAGACACCAAAGAATGCATCTTTTACCTGATGGAGTAAATTATTTATGATGTGACGCAATACGATGATATGGGTAGCTGAAAGAACACAATATATTTATTCCCACTTTATTATAACAAGGCAAATACAAATTCCAGAATGTACAAACATTCATAATGAAAATAAGTAAAACTGGAATATGTACAAGTTATACCATCTCCTAGAAAATCAGTCAAATCAATCATTCCTTCTAGAACCGTGCTATGTATTTTCCTCTTTCTTTTATCAAGAAATTAACCGGTCAACGTAGATCTGAATGAAAGTAGAAAGGTAACCATTTTTTGCAGCGCAGTGAAGAGGAACAGAGCCTGCATTGCACTTCTTATTTGGATCAGCCCCATGGTCAAGAAGGTACCTTGCAGTAGCCAGCCTTCCATCCAACGCAGCAGAAGCCAAAGCTGTTATGCCTGGGGGGACCGGATAGCATCAGAAGCAAAAAATCCACATTAGAGATCATCGGCACATGATTATCTCCCAGATGACGCAATACACAAGATGAGCAAATATGCGAGCAGGGCAGAGCAGAGCAGAGCTCTACGTATGAACATCGCGCGTACCAAGCTCTCTGCCGGCATTGATGTCGAAGCCGAGCTCCTCCACCATGCACCTGCACGCGTCCACTTCCCCCAATCGCGCTGCGGCCTGGAGCGGCCCGATGCCCGAGAAGCTGATGTCGTCGGCAAGCCTCGCCTTCCCCTCCGCGTCCTCGCCGCTCGCCAACTCTTTTTTTTTTGAACAACTCGCACGAGACGGTGCGAAGTTCTATTAATAAAGCAGGAAAAAATTACAAGATTATAACCCTGGAGGGTCGTAACCAGGAAAAAGAAAAAAAACCCACCACCCACACACCGACATCGCCAACACACAAGCCCAGGAGAAGGCTAGCACCGGACCGGCCGCCGCTAAGCGTGACCAGCCGCCACTAGACCAACAAAGGGACACAGCTGAGATCGCTCCCTAGGGGATGCCAAAACGACGTCTTCAAGAAGAGAAGCAACGGAAAAACTGCCACCGCCAGCAAAACAAAAACAAAAAAAATTCCAGAAAAATAACAGCAGTAAGAAGCGGCAGGTGGGAAATGGACGCCGTTCGAGTTGGGGAGGGAGGGAGGGCAAGCTCACTGCTCACCCCTGAGGCGGCTGACGTCGCCGTGGGTGGCCGCCTCGAAGAACTGGCTCTGCGGGCCGCCGTCGTTGAGGTACGGGAGCGCGCGGAGGAAGGCGAGGCCCACGCGGAAGCCGAAGCTCGGGTTGGGGTCGCCCATGGCCGCCCGCCGCCGCTGACACGAGCAGCCTAGCTAGGGTTTTCGCCTCGAGAGGAGAAGGCGTCGCGACGCGAGCGTTGGTGTATCGCGTCCGAGAGATGGGCGTAGTGCGTCCGGGGCAATCGCCACCTTCTGCTGCATTGTTAATATAGCAGGCGGCTGGCTGCGCGTCTCACACTCTCATGGGCCGTTTGGATAAAAAGATTAGGGCAAGTACTAATGTTCAATATATTGTCCCTCTCACGGACCGTTTAGAGCAAGTTTAATTTTAATAGTATAGCCAACTACTAACTCCAATTCATTTATAGTCAATTTAATAGCTCATCCATACAATAGTTATATACTAGTACACTATTAATACCTGGTCCTATCTATCATACACACACCGCGTCTTGGAGTTCGTGCTACAGCTGGCTACAAATCTGCAGCTGGCTTATAGCTTGCTATTGTACAATTTGTACCTGCTCTTAGATAAAGATTAGGACAAATACTATAATGTTTCATATGTTGCCTCTAAGAGTGTCACATTGGATTGAGTGATAAGGTGGAGGAGAGAAGTGAGGAGAGATAATATGAGCCACCCCTAAATTAAAAGGCAAACCTTCACACAAATTTCAACAAGGATGTGAGCGTATTAGAGATATTGGTATTTATGTACTAGAGGTGATATATTGTATGGGTTGTCTCTTCATAAGTGAATAATATAGATAAATTTAGAGGAGATAGTTACATCTACTATAACACTTGCCCTTACTAGAATGAAATCCCTCGTGAGATGAAACCAAATCATTTTCCGTATTTTCCAAATCTCCAACGCCCTGGATATCCATAATAAGGCCAAATCTTCAGCTTGATTTAGCTTTTCACCAGCAAGTTAAACAAAATAAACTATGAACACACTTTAAATATAGGTTTATTTGAATTTTTAAAGAAACTTATACTATATAAAAAGGTTTTACAAAAAAAGACACATCAATATAGCGATTGGCTCGAATGTTTCGTTTAGAAATTTTCCGCATACAAGTTAATCTGATAGCAGAGCATATATATATATATATAATATATATATATATATATATATATATATATATATATATATCCGCAATGATTTGTTTTCATAGATCGACCATAGCGCAGATACTCTTAGGGCTCCTTTGAATCGCAGGATTGAGAAAACGTAGGAATAGGAAAAACATAGGATTTTGATAGGAATGTAAGTGTAAAACAGAGGATTCGTAGGCTGGATGATTAGTTTGTACCATTTAATATATGCACCAAACAATGCATTGTGGCTAAACTATTATGGGCAGCAAAGCTTATTAATAACATGGTATGTGCAAGCAACCAAAATATCTGTATCCGTGTATAATCGACATTGCTTACATAAAAAAATAAAGTGATTTGTCGTCCAAACTCCACAGATAAAACCATACATAGGAATAGTACGAGACATCATAGATAGAAGCATTACCACATCACTTTCTCAATCTCGGCATTAGCAGGATCCAGTTTCAGCGCGTTCAAGAATGCCTCAAATGCTTTCTTGTGCTCCTGTGGACAGAAAATTGGGGGGATGATCTAACATGAAGCTTATGTAAAGGGCAACATGTGACTAGCACACTGCAACAAATTTTCTGACCTTTAGCACCATCAAAGCAGCTCCTTCCCGGTAGTGACCTTTCACCCACTTAGGCCGCAGTTCTACACATCTATCTGCGTCAAGCAAAGCCTTTTGTGCTTCTCCAATTTGTAGGTTGCAAAGGCTTCTGTTTGAATACAAGGTTGCATCAAAATAATCTAGCTCAAGTGCCTACATCAAATTGAAGATAGAAGTGCATAATATGTACAAAATGAAAGAGTGAGGCAGGAAGGGAAATTTGGTGAAAGATGAATGCATCAATCAGGAATTCATTTTAGGCTAAAGTTTCAATTTGAAAACCACCGTAGCTAATAGTGTCCAACTTTCCATATGCTAGCTGTCTAATATAGTAGCACCCAGACGAAGAAATATTATTTATGCAAATCTTTCAGCCTAGTTTCTCGTTTTTCTTCTCTTTATAGGTTATTCGTAAAATAACTATGAGGGTTGATATCCCCACTCCATAAAATCAAAGATGCATGGTCCCTCCTATGTATTCTTCTTTTTCTGACAAAATAACTTCGGCACATCTAGAAGATGCCATAGATTTTATCCAACACCATGTAGTTTACATTATAAAAATGGTTTGTAATTTGGTTAAGACTTGTACTCCCTCCGTTTCATAATGTAAGACTTTCTAGCATTGCCCACATTCACATGTGTTAATGAATCTAGACATATATATGTGTGTAGATTTATTAACATCTAGATGAATGTGGATAATGCTAGAAAGTCTTACATTATGAAACGGAGGAAGCAGTTACAAATTGTCAACTGGTCAATTTGCTTAGGCACACAAAAACTCTAAGTGTCCAATGTCCATGACATAATCAGATATAGGAAAATAGACATACAATTTACTCCCTCCGTTTCAGGTTATAAGATGTTTTGACTTTGGTCAAATTCAAACTGCTTCAGGTTTGACCAAGTTTATAGAAAAAAGTAGTAATATTTTCGACCCAAGATAAATTTATTATAAAAATATAATTAATTATTAATTTAATAAAACTAATTTGATAATGTAAATATTATTATATTTGTCTATAAACTTAATTAAATTTGAAGCAGTTTGACTTTGACTAAAGTCAAAAACATCTTATAACCTGAAACGGAGGGAGTAGCAAATTGGAGCCAATTCACAAGAAAATCAAAGTACATAAGAAGCACAAAACACAGTTTGACATAATATTCTCTTCCTTCTCTTAAAAGTTAAACTATTTATCTTCTTAATATAAAACAGTAACTCCCTGTCCTCCTCGAGATTTACCTCAAAAAAAAACTTATAACTGTTTTGTTCCTTACATACTAGCACAAGGAAGGTTGAATCAATGATGCACACAAGAGCACTACAACATTAAAACATCGGAACAAGTAAGATGCAAGCACATACCTCGGAGTAGATCTTTGACGCAGCAAGGTAGTCATTTCTCTTAACTGCTTTTTCTCCATGTGATTTTAGCTCAGCCTTTCTGTCATTGACCTTGCCACATGACTCGTCCTAAATAAGAAACATAAATTAAGCCTGGCAAAACTACAGAATATGCAACATAAACTACAGAAACAACTGGCTAGCAAGTTGCATCCCAATGGAATCAAACACAAGTGCACACAAAGTTGAAAAGCACACAAAGGTGAGCTTGTTTGGATAGAAAGGTAAATTGAACAAAACTCCCCAATAATCCTTTTGCTTGTGCAAATAGATCCAACAGGCTTGCGAGGGTTGGAACTACATATACAACTTCCATATGCCCAGTCTAAAATAATTAAAAAGATATTGGTGGCACTCAATGATTGCAGAGCATGTTTTCATTACCAGGGAACAGTCTGCTTAAAAATCCACAACAATCTGGGGGATTATCTAAAATCCATCTACACAGACAAGTCCTAGAGGAAAAGAAAACTCTGCAGGCCACAACTATCCTCTTTAGATATTTGAGTGCCAGATTCTTACAATATCACATGTATCAGTTCTGTTACCATATCATTGTTTTTGTAAGTAGAAACCATGCAGTACTTTTATATGTTAGCAAAAGGAACACATGTTTTGGGGCTAGTTTAATCTCTATTCTCCACTCAATCAACTATGGCTCGTTGGATACATATATATATAGGCTAGTGGCTTACACCATAAGGTATAGGCTAGTGGCTTACATCCTAAGAAACTAGGAGTGGCTTACATCCTAAGGAAAACTAGGAGTGGCTTACATCCTAAGGAAAACTACTAGTGGCTTACATCCTAAGGCAGCCAACTATTATTCCAAAAAAAGATGTTAAAAGCATATAGTAAAAACAAGACTTAATCTGTCATTCTCCTTCTAAGTCTTGTGTGGCGCCTTTTGGGGAATTTGAACCATTCCAATCCTGGCGCGAAACTCCTGGAACTTGACCCGCCCGAGGGACTTGGTGAGAAGATCGACGAGCTGATCCTGGGTGTTAATGTAGCTGGCCTTGATGCTCCTCTCCTCCAAGCAGCTCCGAATGAAATGATACTTGATGCGGATGTGCTTGCTGCGCTCATGGAAGACGGGATTCTTTGCCAAGGCCAAAGCAGACTTGCTGTCCACCCTGAGCTCCACTGCTTCAGCGTCTCTTCCCAAGAGATCTCCCAGCAGCCGAACCAACCAGAGAGCTTGAGTTGAGGCGGTTGTGGTAGCGATGTACTCCGCCTCGCAACTGGACAGGGCCACCACTTGTTGCTTGACCGACTGCCAGCTGATCAGGCACTTGCTGAGGAAGAACAGCATGCCACTGGTGCTCTTGCTCGTGTCGCTGTCGCCGGCGAGGTCACTGTCGCTGTACCCAATGAAGTGCTGCGCACCGGGACACCTCGGGTAGTGCAAGCCGTAGTTGGTGGTGCCCTCGACGTAACGGAGGATCCTCTTGACAGCCTGCTGGTGCTCTGTCGTTGGTCGCTGCATGAACCGGCTAACAGCCAACAGCGAATGCCAAATCTGGCCGCATGTGGACAAGGTAGCGAAGGTTGCCCACAATACGTTGGTACGGCGTGGCGTCAACCTCCTCAGCCGTGCTGTCGCGGCTCAGCTTCAACCTTTCCTCCATGGGAGTGTAGGCTAGGTTGCAGCCGGTGAGCCCGCCCAACTCGACGATGCGCTTGGCGTAGGCGGTCTGGCGAAGAGAGATGCCAGAGCTGTCCTGGTGGACCTCGATCCCCAGGTAGAAAGAGAGAAGGCCCAAATCGCTCATCTGGAAAGTCGCCTTCATCTCCTCCTTGAACGCCTCCACCTCAGCCTCCTTGGTGCCGGTGATCACCAAGTCGTCGACGTAGACGCCTACCAACAGGGCATTGCCGTCCTTGCCCCGCCGGTAGACAGCAGCTTCGTGAGAGCTCTGCTGGAACCCCATTTGCTTGAGAGTGGAGTCCAGCTTGGCGTTCCAAGCTCGGGGCGCCTGCCACAAGCCGTAGAGGGCCTTGCGCAGGCGAAGAACCTTGTTCTCCTTGCTGGGGATGACGAATCCTGGCGGCTGGTGGGCGTAGACCTCCTTCTTCAGGTCTCCGTTGAGGAAGGCGGACTTGACATCCATGTGGTGCACACGCCATCCTTCCTGGGCCGCCAGCGCGAGGAGGAGACGAACAGACTCCATTCGCGCAACGGGCGCGAAGGCGTCGTCAAAGTCGACTCCCTCCTGCTGAACGAAGCCGCGCGCCACCAGACGCGCCTTGTGCTTGATCACCGCCCCGGCCTCATCCTTCTTGAGCTTGTAGACCCACTTAAGGGTGATGGCGCGGTGGCCGACAGGAAGATCTGCCAGCACCCACGTCCGGTTTCGCTCGACCGCGTCCATCTCGTGCTGCATCGCAGTGCGCCATGCCACATCTCCATTCGCCTCTGCGAAGGAGCAGGGCTCGCCGTCCTCATGCGCCAGGTGCAGCTCGGCCTCGAAGTCGTGCGTCGCCAGTCCAAGGACGGGCTGATCACCGAAGATGTTGTCCACGGTGTGGTAGCGCAGAGGCTCGTCGTCGTGGTACGCATCAACACGATCCTCGTCGTTGGACAACGGAGTGGCGAACTCCACCGGTGGTGTGGGCGCTGGTGTAGGAGAGCAGGGCGTAGCCGGTGATGGAGGAGTCGCTGGTGGTGTAGGTGGTGGAGGACTCGCCGGAGCTGATGGCGAGCCGGGTGCCGAGGTGGACGAGCTCGGTGAAGATGAGCTGCTAGCTCCCCCGGCTCCCCCAAAGTGGACGTAGTCGACGACGAAGTCTCGGAGAGTCGAAGTCGAGCCGTCGTCCACCGCCTTGTCCCAAGCCCAACCTCGCCCTTCGTCGAACACGACGTCCCGAGAAATGCGGACACGCTGCGTCGCAGGGTCGAGGATGCGGTAGGCCTTGACGCCCTCCGCATAGCCGATGAAGACTCCCGGCGAGCTCCGGTCGTCGAGCTTGCCGACGTGGTTGAGCTCCTTGGCGAAGGCGAGACAGCCAAAGACGCGGAGGTGGCTCACCACCGGCTTGCGCCCGTGCCAGGCCTCGTACGGCGTCTTGCCGTCAAGGGCCTTGGTGGGCAAGCGGTTGAGGAGATGGACGGCAGTCATCACCGCCTCCTCCCAGTAGATTGCCGGCATCCCTCTTTGCTTGAGGAGGGCGCGGGCAGTGGCCACCACTGTCTGGTTGCGGCGCTCCACAACGCCGTTCTGCTGCGGGGTGTATGGCGCGGAGAAGTGGCGCTGGATCCCCTCGTCGGCGCAGTACGCCGCGAACTCAGCCGCCGTGAACTCGCCACCGTTGTTGGTGCGTAGCACCCGAAGCTTGCGGCCGCACTCCTTCTCCGCAGCAACTTGATGGTGCTTGATGGCGTCTGCAGCAGCTGCCTTGGAGTCGTGCAGGACCACCCACATGTAGCGGGACACGTCGTCGACGAGCAGCAGGAAGAAGCGCCGGCCTCCAGGTGTGGCCGGAGTCACAGGGCCGCAGAGGTCACCGTGCACGAGCTCCAGCTTCTCCTCGGCGCGGAAACTTGCTTGGCGGGGAAAGGGGAGTCGCCGCTGCTTGGTGAGGACGCAGGTGTCGCAAAACTGCTCCACGTGCTCGACTCGCGGCATGCCCTGCACCATCTCCTTGTTGCCGAGCTGCTTCAAGGCTCCGAAGTTGAGGTGCCCAAAGCGCTCGTGCCACCGCCATGCATCATCGTCGCGGCGGGCTGCAAGGCACACAGGCTGCGCTACCTGTACATGGAGAACATAGAGGCGATTGGCGCCCCTGTTCACCTTGACGAGAAGGCGACGATGGCGATCCCAAACCCGCAAGACCCCGTCCTCTATCTCCACGCGCGAGCCGTTCTCATCCAGTTGTCCCAAACTGATGATGGAGTTCCTTAGCGCGGGGATGTAGTAGACACCGGTGAGCAGCCGGTGCTCGCCGGTCTTGGCAGTGAAGAGGATGGAGCCGACGCCCTTGATCACCACGGTGGAGGCGTCCCCAAACTTGACGGAGCCTTGAACGCTGGAGTCAAGCTCGGAGAAGAATTCCCGCCGCCCGGTCATGTGGTGAGTGGCACCGGTGTCGAGGCACCATCCGTCGATCTTGTCGCCGCATGATCCGTTGCTGAGGAAGACGTGGGCCGCGGCTCGTCGAGGTGGAGGGGCGCGGTAGCGTCCGATGCGGGAGTGAAGTGCGGCTCGATGCTTCCGTGTACGAAAAACAGAGCCACCTCGTCACCCTCCTGTGCTTGAGCGACGTGTGCTTGACCGCCGTGCTTCGCCTGCCGGCAGTCCTTGGCCCAGTAGCCGGTCTTCCCGCAGTTGTGGCAGGTGTCGTCGCGGCTGCCCTTGTGCTCGCCATTGGCGTCGCCAAGAGCGCCACTACGCGCCTTCTCCCACTTGCGTGGTCGACGCTTGCGGCTGCTCGACGATCCCGAAGCCGAAGAGCCTGTGGCCTCCCCCTTCTTCCACTCCTGCTGGCGGGCGAGCCACTGCTCCTTGGTGAAGAAAAGCTTGCCACCAATGGTGATCGGCTCTGAGGGAGGTAGCTGCTTGCGGTTGTCGACGGCCTTGAGGCGACCCATCACCTCTTCGATTGTGAGCTCGGTGAAGTCCAGCAGCGTCTCGATCGACAGAGCCAGCTGCGTGTACTTCTCGGGGACGACGCGAAGGAGCTTCTCCACGGCTCTCTCCTCGTCAATGGTGGTGTCGCCGAGCTGCGCCAACCGCTGCTGCAAGGAGTTGAGGCGGAGAACGAAGTCATCGATGTCCTCACCCGGCTTGAAGGCCAGGTTCTCCCAATCCTGACGCAGCTTCTGAAGCGTGGACCTGCGGGCGCGGTCGCTGCCGATGCGTGCCGAAGCAATGGCGTCCCAGGCGTCCTTGGTAGTCCGCTTGTTCACGATGGAGGACTGCATCTCCGTCGGAACAGCAGCAAGGAGCGCCTCCAACGCCCGCCGATCTTCCCCGTAGTCGACATCGCCGTACCAGACCGTGTCCCACATGTGGCGCGCCTGCAACTTCACCTTCATCACCATCGCCCATTCGGCGTAGTTAGTCTTGGTGAGCATGGGCCATGCGCCGCCAACATCCTTGACGATGGTCTGCACAACGGGAGGAGAGCCGGAGCGTCCACGGCGACCACGGTGCCGGTCCGAGGAAGGGGAGGCGCGCTGCCTGCGAGGGCTTCGTGCGCCAATGTCCCGTCCACCCTGCTCCCGGTCGAAGTCCAGTTGTGCCTCAATCGCCGCTGCCTGCTCCCAGAGTCGCTGGGCCTCCAGAGCGCGGTCGATCCAAGGATCGCGCCATAGATCATGCCACTCCTCATCGCGGTGGAGATCTGATCCTCCGCAATGGGGGCTGAAGTCGCGATCACGTCGGCCTACGTGTCGATCCCGGTCTGCGTCGCGTCGCACGCAGGCCGCGTTTGCCAGCTCCAAGTCACGCCGCTCCTCCTCAGCTCGCAAAGTAGCAGCAGCAGCTGCAGCCTGCCTGGCCGCCTCCGCGGTGCGTGCTGCTTCAGCGTCTGCCGCCACGAGACGTGCCGCCCTCGTGGCTGCCTGCAGCCGCGCCTCCGCTTCCTCACACGCCGCGCGCGCTTCCTGCGCAGCCGCTCACGCCTCCTGCGCAACCCGCGCAGCAGCAGTCGCATAGCCATCGCCCTCAGCGTCGACCGCCGACCGCCTGCTGCCTCGTCCGCTGGAAGTGCTTGAGGCATGGGACAAGAGAGAGGGGGAACGAATGGAGTGGAGAGACATTTTTGGATGGGGAGTCGATGGAACTCAGATAAACCTTGCTATGATACCAATTGTTAGCAAAAGGAACACAGGTTTTGGGGCTAGTTTAATTTCTATTCTCCACTCAATCAACTATGGCTGGTTGGATACATATATATAGGCTAGTGGCTTACATCCTAAGAAACTAGGAGTGGCTTACATCCTAAGGAAAACTACTAGTGGCTTACATCCTAAGGCAGCCAACTATTATTCCAAAAATAGATGTTAAAAGCATATAGTAAAAACAAGACTTAATCTGTCATTATAAGCTACTACCTCCATCCCAAAATAAGGGATCTTGACTATGTATCTGGACATGCCCATGTTTGGTACTATTTCAAACTTCGAATCCAAGTCTACAATCTGCATGATGAAAGCTAACATATAATAGGGATTCAAATGATCATGACGAGAACTATCGAGTGACCCGTTTTATCTTCAGAATTTGGAACTAAGAAAGTGAAAATGAATAAGAGAAAACAAGAATGACTTCTGACAAATCAGAGATATACACATAGGCTGTGTTTAGATTCAAAGTTTGGATCCAAACTTCAGTCCTTTTCTATCACGTCAACCTGTCATACACACAACTTTTCAGTCACATCATCTCCAATTTCAACCAAAATCCAAACTTTGCGCTGAACTAAACACAGCCATAGTTTAAATCATCAAGGTAAACAAGCATAGAACGGTCCAAAAACTTTTAGTTCAAGCCAAACCTTGGGAGTCAAGCGTCTCGATTTCCCATGAGCAATAATTCCTTCAACTGTCCAATTTGTTACTGCACTGATAGAGGAAGTGAAAGGAAATAGAATCTCCACATGATCTCTTCTTCCAACGCTTGCAGAGATTTCTACAGGTGTACGTCCGCTCTGCAAAGTAACAGAAGAAGATAACCTTTGTACGATAACTTAACAAAAAAATAAGAATCAAGAGCGTGATTATTAAATAAGCAAGAACCTTGTGGAGGTGGTTTTCCCCCTGAATACTTTCATGAACAGAAATGCTTAACTTATTTGAAGTGCTAAATGACTTAAATTCAAAAGGCAATAAGCCAATAATAAAAGAGTCAACTGAATTAGAACAAGTAATTCAGGTTGAACCATACATGGTGTGCACTTGTGATGCACAGGCGTACGCATGGAACACCATGTCGGGACCACATACTTAACATACCCGAGAACAGAAAAAAATAATTGTACAACCAATAGAGTAATAATTTAGTACTCAAAGTGACATGTATTAGATCATGCACTAAGAAGAACAACAACTCTAGAAAGAAGAACAGGGCCTAAAAAGCACACCTGTTTATCTGGAATGTTAGGATCTGCATGAACCTCAAGCAAGTACTTGATACAGTCAGTTAAGCCAGCTGTCGTGGCCACCACCAAGGGAGTGTTTGGACAAGCATAGTTCACATCAGCACCAGCCTAGGTTGGCATAATTCACATCAGGACCAGCCAATTCAATTAATACAATAATATGCATAATATAGAAGTGCTTCGTACAGAAATCTATATATTGTTAAATAAACATATATGTTCTGTATTTTCCTTTGTACGAAGGGTTTCCTTGTTTTCCTACATGTACATGTATACATTTGGGCCCACAGCCCTTAGAGATGAATACAAGCACTATGGATAACAATAGCAATTAATAGATTCTCAACTTATAAAGAAGATAATATGAAGAAACAAAGGTGAAGCAGTTACCAGACCTTAACAAGCAGCTTTACACATTCCAAAGAATCAGATTCATCCAATCCATGTTTAGCAGAACGGAGAGCCGTAAGAATAGGGGTACCCCAAACTCCTGAAGTGTTGTTTGACTACAAATTTAATGCAAGAAACAAAATTATTCCCTACACACAAGTAAGATAACTCACATGTTATAAAAATGTGACTGCGGAATAATAAATAGAAACAGTATAAACACCCATATATTTCTCTGCATTTCCATGTGTTTGCAACAATCTTGTATGTAGTTGTTAAAATTAAACTGTTTAGGACTAATACGTTACCCAGTGCTTGGAAACACTGCCAGGACATGTAACAATTAAATATTCAACCGTAAGTGCCTAAAACAATATTATGAAAGATTTATTGGACTTATCAAGCACAAAATATATTAAGAGCCAGTAAACTATGAAGGCGTGAAATACTAAATGAACACAAGCACATAAAAACTCAGATAGTATCAAGATATAAGACTAATGCAAATGACAAAAACAACAAATTTACTTATTACATCTACATGGTGATCCAATAAAATCTTGACGACACCAATCCTCCTATAGAAAACAGCAATATGTAGTGGTGTCCCATGAGCAACAACTATACCAGTCCTAGCTCCACTGGATAACAAGAGACGGACTACTTCTTCATACCCTAAACAAAATGAAAAAAAAAAGGCACTGTCATAACCTGCTTGTTCGAGAAAAAGAAATGGTACTATCATAACAAAGAACAAGCATTATTAGAACACTACATAGTTAGATAAAAGTAGCTTTTCTGCTAAAAAGATCCTTCCAACCACCCATCTTTCCATAACTAAAAACAAATAAGGAGTTATCGGTCTCTTGGTGAGGTGCTTAGCTCAACAATTAACTGCGTGTTGTTATAATACTACACAGGACATCAAGAAAATGATCGCTAGTGAGGAAGCATTGAAAAATAGTAAAACAAATATAGCTAACATAACTTTGCAAAGAATAATGACAGTGATATTTTAGGCAGGAATACTTCAAATAGCAGGATGGTTTGTAGATTGCCCGCCATGTGGCTACAACAAACTAGTCAAGCATAAAAGGAATATAGGGACACTAATCCAACCTGCAGAAACTACCCCAAAAAAAGTCACAACAATGAATTACTGAATACTTTTTTTTTCACAATTAAGTCCAATGGTTCTTGATTTGATGGTTAAAATTTGAACACATCAGTACATATTCAACAAGACATTTGTAGTCACAAAATGAAAAAATAATAATAGTAGACGTGAAGAGAAAGACCATTTTTCGCAGCAAAATGAAGAGCAACAGAGCCCGTCTCATCTGTCTTATTAGGATCAGCCCCATGCTCAAGAAGATATCTCACAACATAGGCTTCTCCAAACATTGCGGCAGAAGCCAAAGCTGTCACACCTGTCAACAACAATGAAAACAAGTACCTTGTGAGATTACCAACAATTTGGCTCTCCTCTAAATTATTACAGTCCTCAAGCTCATCAAAAAATTTTACACCATACATGCATTTGCCATAGGAAGAATTCCTAGTAGCATGTTAAATAATACACAGTTTGCATGATTTCTAAAAGAACACATCACTATTGGATGGCCTCAGAATATCACATTGCACGGTGTGTATGCATGCACTGGTGTGCATTTAAATTTTTTAGTATTTTAGGAAAGTCTATATGCCCCAGCTAGGTTCTAATAGAATTTAGGAATGCTATATATGGAACCTAAATGGTACCTTATGTTATGTATGGAACTGGATCTTGAAAGTACCACACAAAGTTCATAATAACCTCAAATCCAAAATGCATTTTTTTAATCAATCAAAGCATCTATTTATTGAAAGTTGCTTATTGAAATAGCCCAACTTTCTCATGCTGCATCTATTTATAACATAAAAGAATGTAGCATTGTGTGAACTAAATGTTGTGTCACACAACAGGTTGCTTGACATAATCTGTTGAATAAACTAATAAACCATTCCCAAAAAAAAATGCATTTGATCTAGTGAAAGAGATGCACGCACCATCAGAGAGGCAACCAGCGTTGACGTCAAAGCCAAGCTCCTCCACGAAGTACCTGATGACCTCAATTTTTCCCAGGTGTGCTGCCACTTGCAGTAACCCATTGCCATCTATATTCATATCAGTAAACTTTGCCCTGTCCTTCTCGCCCATTGTATTCACCATTTCTTCAACACCCAAAATTTTGAAGGGGAGAAATCATAATCATGATATGATAAAAGATTGTGCAACCAAAAAAAAATGCAATTCTACATTACTGCGTCTGGTTCACAATTACTAAAGTAACATCGTGAATCACAAAAAAACAAAAATCTGGCTAGGCACAATTGTACAGCATGAGAAAAAAAATCACAAGGTGAAGGCGTGGAGCACACTTCCAGCAGCATGTAAAACATGGCGGAATCCAATCGCGATGCTAGCAACAAAATAGTCACCCATCAGACATGAGTAGAATTGTAGAAAACAACATGATCCTAATTCATTAGAGCATCGATGCTCGCAAAAGAAAAAAGAAATCGACAAATCGTACGTGTACCAATCCAAACATTGCACGCACGCAAGCAGCAAGAGCCCCCCCACCCCCCACCCCCAAAAAAAAAAAAGGCGTACGCACGGCGCAACGCAGACACAAGCACGACAAGAAGAAATCAAGCCCGCCCGCCCGCGGCGTCGGAGACGAGGAGGACGGAGGAGCACTCACTCTTGAGGCGGCGGGCATTTCCCTCCGTCACGGCGTTCAGCAACTCGTTCTCCCTCGGGTCGCCTTTTCCTGGAGGAGGAGGAGACGAAGAACACCGAATCAAAAAAAAAAAACAGCGCCATTAAAGTAGTACTCGTACTAACCAATTAAGCAGGCATGGCAAGGCAAACTAGGGTTTGAAGAGGCGGGGGAACTAACCGATCATGCGGACGATGAGCCAGGAGGCGAATTTGGACTTGACGAACGCCTCCCGCGGCGGCGGCGGATCCATTATTCCGGCGGTGGGCGAGTTGGGGGTTTCGAGCGATGGCTTCGAGGGGAAGGAACAAGGAAGCGGAAGCGGAAGAGGCGGAACTGAAGTGAGGGAGAGAGATTTGGCCAACGGGGCGGGAACGTGGGAAATAGCCTACGCGGCACGCCGGCACCGCCTTGCGCCATGCGGGTAAGAGCAGGTACCATAGCAAACTCTAATTTTAAGAAAATAAAAAGAAAGTGATTGTCTATACATTTATTGATAAATTTTCCTCTAAAAATTTGATAGATGTAATTATAGTACAATTATAATGTAATTATATTGTAACTTGCATGTAACTACATTGTAACTTGTATGTAAGTTTCACGTAATTTCGAATTGTTAGATCTATTATAAGATTTGTTTTGGTGAGGAAGAAAAAATCACAGCACACACATATGTGAAAGGATTTGTTCCATAATCTCCATTTTACTGAAATAACATGTTACGGAGAAATTTTTGAAAGTTACATCATAGTTACAGTGTAATTACACTACGATTGTATTGTAATTATATCTGTCAAGTTTTTAGAAAAAAAATTTATCGATAAATATATAGCAAAATTGATTGGTAATGAGACTAAGGTTTTATAGCTTACAAAATGTGAGAGCTGGGCCCAAAATGGGTTTGGCTAAGATTTAATAGATTTTTGAGCTAAAATATCTAAGGGCTGAGTTGGCTTGTGAAAGGGCCCATAGACCCTGGCCCATTACCACCCCTAAGTGGAGGTGTTTGCTGACTTGCCAGGGTTTCACACAACGAGCTGCTGAGCAGCGGTAGGACGACGGTGTAGGAGGTGTTCACCAAGCGATCGTAGCTGTGGATGCCGAGGAAGATGGTCAGCATGTGGATGTGCACCCTCGTCGCGCTCCTCGATGGCAAAGGGAACATTGTCAAGGTACTTGAGGACCGGGGCAACGAGGTGATGCGTCTAGTAAGCGAGGTTAGGTAAGCCGTGGATCGGGAACATGGCTCACAACCACATTGCTACAATCCGTTACCCATTGGAAGAGCAGAGTAGGGGAGCACAGCCGTTGTCATGGTCGCCACCGCCGCCGCCTCTCGCCCCTCCTCATCGAACCCTATCCACATGCACTTGCGCCTCAACTTCCTTCTCCTCACGCTACCAGAGCTCAGGCCACGTGCACCACTCGAGAGACGAGAGAAAAGGAAGGAGATTGAGAGTGTGGATGATATGTGGGGCCTATTTTTTATCGATGTAAACACCCAATTCAAACCAAATCAACCTGCCACATCATCGAAACCCACCATCTAAACTATCAGAAAACCTAATCGACCAAGTCAACTTGCCACACCATCGAAACTTGCCATCTAAATTGTCAAGACTTAATTAACTTGGTTTCGCAAGTAAAGGGTTTAATTAAGACTATGTTCGGCAGCTTACTTTTCATGCGCATACCTTTCAAACTGTTAAATAATTTTTTTTACAAAAAGTTTTTAATATGAAAGTTACTTAAAAAATCATATTAATCTATTTTTTAACAAAATATAAGTAATACTTAATTAATTATACATTAATAAGTCACTCCATTTTCCGTGCATGGGAGATTATCCCTAGCGCAAGGAACGAACGAGTATTATGATTTAGGCATGTCAACACTCGATGTAAAGATGTAGAGATGAGGGATCACAAGTGAACTTACTCCTATACTAAAGATTGCAATTAGGCGATGAAATGATAAGGAGTCCGAGAGGATATCAAGATACTCGAGTAATGAAACACCGAGGAAAGCATCTCTCCAAACATGGTAGGCCTAAGTGGTACTACGCACGACCAGCTATGTGATCCAAAAGGTGTACGAGGTACTGGTAATACATTATAGCGCTCCAGCTCAGAGCATTACGACCGTTTTCTGCACAATATGTTACACAAAACGTGCAGCCAAAGCCTAAACTTATCTAATCGGATGGCTTGAAGTTCTTTGTAGCGACATGATGCTTCTTCATCGCCTCAATCGCCTCCCTGCAAGCGTCAAATGAAGTTGGTTAAACTTTGTTCCACGTTTTGTTTAGACTAACCTGAAACAAAATGTGCATAATAGTGATGTGCAATCTTATGCAAGAAATTGTCCAACAAGTTAGAAATGGAACTTAGTTTAAGACGGATTACCGTAATGCTTTCTCCATCTCAGCATTTCCAGGTTCCAGCTTCAGTCCAGCCATGAAAGCATCGCATGCCTTTTCGTGCTTCTATGGATAAAAAGGCGGGCAGATTACATATGGGAAGTGACAAGCAAAGTAGTGCAAGGTGAAGAAATAAGGATTTTATCTGACCTTCAGCAACATGAGAGCAGCTCCTTTCCTGTAATAACCTTTTATCCATTCAGGCCGCAATTGTATGCAAAACTCAGCATCAAACAAAGCTGCCTCCGCTTCGGTCATTTGAAGATGGCAAAGGCTCCTATTCGAATAGAGTGTTGCATCAGTAGGATCCATCTCAATTGCCTGCATCAAAACACAGAATTACTCAAGAGTCAACAAAGTTCCTTTGCGGAAATAGGCAGAACTTCTATTGTTAAAGGCTGACAACGTCCTAGTTATGATGCGCTGGAAGAGCAACACCCCAATTCACAAGAAAACACTAGTTCCCATAATAGCATGCCTATTAACGATAACAGAGGGGTATATTCAAGCTTCGCGGTAGTTTTGAAGAGAAACATCAATCCCACATTCTGGACATTATTCTAAGGGGTTGCTGAAGATTTGCATGAATGGATTCCTATTGTTTCCAACAATAAATATAAATGCACTCACAGTGCTCTTTGGCTCATTATTAGACAGACTTGCAATAAGACAGAATCATAGTAAATGTGTGAAATGGTTTTACACAGACCTATAACTAAATAGGCGATATAGGGAGAAAATCCAATAGGACTGGAATCCTATAAAACTCCTATGTTTTTCCTTCAAATCAAAGGGGGCCAAAATAGTTTAATTCCTCTAAACAGAATAGACCCTAAAAGGTTTGAGTTTATGGAAGTTATTTTTCAAAACAAATCTAAACATACCAATTCTATGTTTTGAAACTAAATAATTTAAAATTTATTGATAGTCAAAGTTTCAAAAGTTTGACTAAAACGTCAAACACCATAAATATTTTTTACTAGAGTATTTTTCTATATCTATGCACATGTGTTGCAAAGAAGATATATCCAAAATAGACCATACTGTCTATGATGTAAAAAATGAGGCTTGCTCACATCATCATACCTGACTGTAGAAATTTGAGGCACCACGGTAGTCCTTTCTCTTAACAGCTTTCTCACCACATAGTTTGAGCTGAGCCTTTTCATTCTGATCATCCTGTTTGTCCTACGTCACGAAAACAAACCAATTTAGTCAATATACCAACATTAAATGTACAAAATCTTCTGCAGATAAAAGATAATTTCATGAAACAATTTTATATAGCAATAAAAGCCATATAAAAAATCTTCTGAAGATAAAAAATAATTTAATGAAACAATTTTATATAGCAATATAAGGCATATCGAATTTTTATTTAAAAATGAAACCACAATATATAAGGTGCAAACTAAGACAATAACCCACTCTTGTATGTTTCAAAATAGAACACAAGGGTGATATCAGTTTCTACCTGATATCTCATTCACATATAGTTGGAAAAAATTTGGTCCTAATTACTACGCAGGTGCAACAAAAATAAGCCAATAGGTGCTACAAAGGCAACACCATTTCCATGGATCAAATAATAGAGGCCACACCATGCTGTCTAGAAAACAGTGATGATGAACCAAACACCACAGTTTATACCATGAATTAGCTTACTCGTAATACCAATATGATCAACTGATCTGGGTTAGATTACTTTTGGCATAAAGCTTGATTATAACAACCTCGTTTAGCACAACTGATTGTTTAAAATTGATGTGTGGCCAATTGTTTTTTTTTCATCCAAGTTGCAAGCCAAGAATTATCATGCTTCGAAGAAAGAGAAGTTGTGACAAAAACATTCAGTTTACACAATTTGTATACACTTAATTTGATTTCTTAACAAACAAAAAAACTTTCAACTGAATTCAACAATAGCTTAACACCAAGCATAGCAGTACATAACCGCAACTGAACCTTAAACTTCTAAGCTTATGTTTTTGGAGCACATGTGTAGCCATTGGTCAATACCTAGACAGTTACTGGTCATTAATTCTTTGCAAACTCCAATTTTTCTAAGATTTTCTGCAAATCTTATGTATCACCAAATAACATCACATCAAGCATTTCTCAAATAAAACTAAAACAACAAATAATGAGTCTCTTCATTTCTGTTATGTCAAATAGTAGAAACCATACCGAACTCTCTGGCAGTTTTCCTTGCCCTGACTAGTACAAAAGGAATCTAGAAAAAAAAAACTACTCTCCTTGCATGATGGGATAAGATTATGACATTCTGTGTTATGTGTGTTTGTACAGCTCAAACAGTACAGAATATACCTATCATCAGGATTAAGGGTTTCCTTATCAAAATATGAATATTCAATGAATAAATAATTGATTACTTTCCTAACATTGGGATTAGTTATTGTGTGTATTCAAAATTTCTAATTGGTAAGGAATGTAAGGATCCAATATTGAGGATCAAGCTAACATGAGCAGTCCCACAGGTACTACAGCATCCTGAGTCATCCATGTGAAAGGGACCCAATGCAATTATTACGATCAAGCAATCAACAAACACTTAGGTTGATCACAACCTCCTAGCTTTTGGGAAGCTCACCATTGATGAGAGCAATTCCACCTCCATCCTAGTCTTGGAATTTGTACCATATCCATGAATCAATACCCAAGCATAAGGGTCCAAAGACTAGGATAAGGCCATACCAGATTCTGTTGACGGTAGGCCTATCCCGTTAGCTAGGAGACTTGATCAAGCGAGACCTAATATGCTAATATGTGTTTCTTTGTTTCTCGATCATAATAATAGGAATCTAGGTGTATGTGGGTCCATTTCATAGGGGCAGCTCATATTTCTACAATCCCAACTTGAACCTCAATAATAGCAATATAAAACCGAAGGGAGTAATATGCACTAGAGAAAACAATATCATCAATACATTCATGTGACCCAAAGCATAGGTGCGAATATTTAAACTATAAAAAAATTGACAGGCACATAAGGAAATACAGAACAGTCTCAACAAATTGTTTTCACTCACACCTTGGGCTTTGAACATTTTGATTTGGCATGTTTCGATTTGGCCTGGGCAAGAATTCCTTCAACAGTCCAGTTTGACACAGCTCAAATGGGGGAAGTTAACGGGAACAGTAATTCCACGTCCTTTCTTCTTCCATAGCTTGCAGCAAGTTGTATTGGCAAGGCACCACACTACAAAGTAACAGAACAACAATTATATAACTACTACCTCAAAAGCAATATCGACCAAGGCAGGAATATCACAAGCATTCATTATACAAATAACAGCAGAAGTATATAAGCCAATTATAAATAGAAGAAATGTGCACAAATAGATGGATATATTTTTTTTCGAAACAAAATATGTGGAGTTATTGATGCCCACTCATATGCCATTTTCAGCTGCAATTTAAATGCCATCTGAGCTTCACTTTAAATGTCATCTGAGCTACATTTTGTAGAAGCCTAAACATCACTCAACCCAAAAACCAATTACATACTCGCAAAAGAACTTAATTATTTGTACAAGCACGATTAAAAAAAATTTCAACCTTTTAGCTACCCATATTAGTAGTCAGATCAAATTCTCGACAGTCAAGGCCCAAGGGCTTAAGGTGATAAGCCATAATTATGTATAATGGGGGCATATCTAGCATTGGTCACAACTTTTTGGATAAGAAAAGGAAATGAGGAAGTCAAAAGAATACAAAAACTCACATCACAAGTTGGGATATTAGGGTCTGCGCCAGCCTTTAGCAAGTATTTAATTCAGGCAGTCAAGCCATTAGTAATTGCTACCACCAACGGAGTGTCACGATCACTGAAGTTAACATCAGCGCCTGCCTATTTGTATGAAACACACAAAATTATCAATGCCACTGTTCATACAAACAGATTGATCCCATAAAGTGAATTCAAGTTACCTCAACAAGTAGCTTTACACACTTCAGTGAAATAGACTCAGCTAGTCCTTGAGAAGTAGCATGAAGAGTTGCAACCAACGGTGTACCCAACTCTTCTGAAACCTTGTTTGGCTAAATTGGGGAAAAAAAATACTGCCTTTAGGGCCTGCTCACTTTGCTACCATTTTCAACCTTACCAAGTTTTGGCATTGCCAAATTTTGGTAAGGTTGCCAAAATTTTAGCAAGGTTGCCAAATTTTGGCAAGATTTTATATGTGCTTACTAAAATTTGGCAACAAACTAAATGTAACCACTTTTTTGGTAATTTTGCCAAAACTTGGTAAGGTTGAAAATGATAGCAAACTGAACAAGCCTTTAGTGAAAACATATTGAATTACATTTATTACATAATATGCCAGATATTAAATGTTGGGATATAAATATAGATGCAAACTATATCCTGCAAAATATAAATAGGAGCATGCAGTTATTCTTCTTAATACAAATATGGGCAATCCTTTTGTGCATTCCCTAAAAAGTATCTGCTCTTCTCATGAACCTCCATATTTTATTTAGAAAACAGGCAACAAAATCATTAGTCCTATGCAATTTGCAATACATGGCTAAGTGTCAACTGCAACAACAGCTTTTCATCAACACAAATGTATATGGAGTGTGTTGATCAATTGGAACCAAAAAAACACGTTTTTCATGGCATGGGTAAGATTTATCACCCCACCAGCTTGAGTGGCAAGGTTCACAAGAGAAATACTAAATAAAACTGTGATCCAAACTAAATGCATTTGCATTGTACCAAGTTAGCACCAAAGGCTAATATGAGAAGACATGGAATCTACTTCTTACATCTGCATGGTGCTCCAATAAAACTTTCATGACATCAGCCTTCCCATATGCAGCAGCAATATGTAGTGGTGTCCCATGAAAATAAGCTATATCAATGCTAGCTCCTCTAGATAGCAACAGTCGTGCTACTTCATCATGACCTAAACAAGATGCACAAAAATAACATGACAAAATTACCATGAAAATAAGCATTTATCAAACAGATGGCTAAACAACAGAAATATATATATTCTTAAAAGATGCATGATTCATAAAAATAATATTTTTACTGTCCTACCTAGACACCAAAGCATGCATCTTTTACTTGATGGCTATTGGCTGAAGTTAACTATTTAAGATGCCATCCAATACGATGATTCGGGAAACTGATCGCACGAACAAGAATATATTTGTTCCCACTTTATTATAACAAGGCAAATAGAAGTTCCAGGATGTACTAACATTCATAATGAAAATAAGTAAAACTGGAATATGTATAAGTTACACCAACTCGTAGAAAAAAAATCAAAACATGTGAGTGAGCTCATCTAGCTTGTCAGAGAAGTAGCATAAAAAACAGAACAGAGATGCTAATCGGCATTACAGGTCTGGACTCTGCACATCACCAAGGACCAGCAGGGACTAGGGAAAATCAGTCAAATCAATCATCCTTCTTATATACCTCGATATTCAAACTACCTTCACTAGATCTATGGGAATTACGTAAAATGAAAAAAAAAGAGAGGCGTAAATGTCTAAATGGCAGAAACAGAAACTGCTCCGGCACACAACGAAGCACCCTGCTATACTTTTTCCAACTTTTTATCAATCAAGAGATTAACTGGTCAACATAGAGCTGAATGAAGGTAGAAAGATAACCATTTTTTGCAGCACAGTGAAGAGGAACAGATCATGCATTGCACTTCTTATTTGGATCAGCCCCATGGTCAAGAAGATACCTTGCAGCAGCCAGTCTTCCATCCAACGCAGCAGCAGCCAAAGCTGTTATGCCTGGGAATAACCATAAAAAAACAAGTAACTGTTGAGAACTTGAGATTATCGGCACCCCTCCAAACTAAGGATGGATTTACACAAAAACTCTCCAATGCAATTAGTTGCGACCTAAGTAAGTGATCCATGGTCATTAAGACTGAGTAGCGACTAGAGAGCCATAAACCACAAACCGGAGTGCATATCAAGATGACGCAATGTTCAATTGATGAGATGAATTCAATGGGGGGCATACACAAAATGAGCAATGTTCCAAGACTGAAATTTACTTCCATCGAAGGATACGGCAGAGCAATCACTACGAAGGAAGCAGAGCAGAGCTCTACATAGGAGGAACAACAATACAACATACGTACGTACCAAGCTGGCTGCCGGCATTGATGTCGAAGCCGAGCTCCTCCACCATGCACCTGCAAGACTCCACTTCCCCCAAGCGCGCTGCAGCCTGGAGCGGCCCGATGCCCGAGAAGCCCATGTCGGCGAGCCACGCCTTCCCCTCCGCGTCCTTGCCGCTCGCTAGCTCTTCAGTAGCACACCAAATCCAACAAAAAATGCGTAAAAAAATCAAAAAAAAGAAAGAAAAATCCAGAAAAAAAAAACAGGAGTAAGACGCGAAGCAAAGGGCCGGCAGCGGAGATCGCGCAGGGGGGAAAGGACGCAGCGAGCTCACGGCTCACCCCTGAGGCGGCGGACGTTGCCGCGGGTGGCCGCCTCGAAGAACTCGCTCTGCGGGCCGGCGTCATTGTAGTACGGGAGCGCGCGGCGGAGGGCGAGGCCGACGCGGAAGTTGAAGCTCGGGTCGGCCATGGCGGCGGCCGCCGCCTTGAGCGCCAGCTAGGGTTTTCGCGAGGAGAGGAGACTTTTGGAGAGGCGAAGAAGTCGGCGAGCGTGTGGCGTGGTTCGTGGTTGGTCGCGTGGTGCGTCCGGCGCAATCGCCACTCGCTTTCTGCTGCGCGATTATATAGCAAGGCGCCTGGCTGCGCGTCTCACGGTCACAAGCTGTTTGGATAAAGATTGTTTGAATGAAATCCCACGTCCAAATAACCGTATTTTCAAATCTCCACAGCCCGGGATATCCAGAACAATATCTTGGAAACGAAATCACTACTGGTTACATTTCGTTTGGAGATGACAGATTTCATCAATATACAAGTTTGATAGTTATAGCAAATACTACCTCCGTTTTTATGGCGTAGTTATTTTTTTTATCAACGTTTAATCATTCGACTTATTCAAAATTTTAATGCAAATATAAAAATATTTAAATCATGCTTAAAAAACATTTGATTATACATCAAATCACAATAAAATAAATAATAATTACATATTTTTTAAAAAATATAAAACGATTTGTCAAAAATATCTCGAAAGTCAATAAAATCATATATTAAAAAAACAGAGGGAATAATTATTTTCATACACCGATTATTGCGAGAAGATTTTCACCTAAAGTTCTTTTGTTTTTTAAAAAATGAAAACACGGGATTTGACATGGAATACCTAAAGCACATTTAGCTATACACAATGAGGGCGCTCGTGCCCAACACCACCAAAACAACCGATCTAAGCAGATCATACAAGAGTGCACAAGAACGCAAGCAACACAGTGTATCTAAGCAGAACATACCAAGAGTCTGTTCGTACGAGTAATCGAGAAAGATAAAATGTTGGACAAAACATAGCACAACCATCAAACTCCAAAAGTTGAACGCATTAACATACAGTAACTAGGTTCTCTACCCAAGCGATGCGATATGGTCAAAAGACCCCAAAAGAAGCGTTCACTTCAGACCCAGCAGGACAGCATATATGCATCTGCAAATGGAGCGTGTAATCTACCGACTTTAAGGTTTTCTCTTCAGCAGCATCATCCTTTTTCATCGCCTCCAATGCTTCCCTGCGCAAGTTAAATCAAATTGGTAAGTAAGCCGAAAAGCCCAGAGGCTAGCTAAAACGTTGGTAGAGGAAATATGCATACTACCTGATTCACCGAACAAACCTAATGCCAAATACATAAGCCTCATTTTTTTTTAGATGATGAAATACATAAGCCTCATACGAATATAGCAAGTCAGTGGCTGGATAATTTTTTTATCATGAGGCTGGATAATTTACCATTTATTATTATGAACCAAACAATGCATTGTAGCTAAACTAATTCGGGTAATAAAGCTTTATCAATAACTTCGCACGTGCAAAGCAGCCACCGATATGTATATAAAAGAATAACCGGCACTGCCTACATGAAGATGAAAATGATTTGTCGTCCTGACTCCATAGACAAAATCCGTAGACGACATAAGACATGACATATAGAAGCATTACCACAACACTTTCTCAATGTCAGCATTCGCAGGATCCAGTTTCAATGCATTCAAGAACACCTCGAATGCTTTCTTGTGCTCCTGTGCACAGAAAATTGGGCAGATGATTGATATCAAGCTGACGTAAAGGGCAACATGTGAGTAGCACACTGCAACATTTTTTCTGACCTTCAGCAACATCAAAGCAGCTCCTTCCCGGTAGTGGCCTTTCACCCACTCAGGTCGCAGTTTTACACACATTTCTGCGTCAAGCAAAGCCTTTTGCACTTCTCCAATTCGTAGATAGCAAAGGCTTCTGTTTGAATACAAGGTTGCATCAAAATAATCTAGCTCAAGTGCCTGCATCAAATTGAAGATAAAGGTGCATAATGGAGTACGTGCCCAATAACAGAATGAAACAGTAGAGAAGATTTAGTTACAGATGAATGGCACATCATGAGCCCGTAGCTAGTAGTGTCCAACTTTCCACATACAACCTGCCTAACATTGTAGCACCCAAAAAAGGAAATATGGAGTACTATTTATGTAGATCCTTTAATCTAGTTTCTCCTTTTTCTTCTCTTCATAGGTTATTCATAAAATGACTATGATGGTTGAAGTCCCAGTCCATAAAATCAAAGATGTGTGGCCCCTCCCATGTATTCCTCCTTTTTCTAACAAAACAACTTCAGCACATCTAGAAGATTTCATAAATTTTACCCTAGATTTTATCCAACACCGCATAGTTTGCACAATACAAAGGTTAGTAAATTGGTAAATATTTGAAGTTGAAAACAGCCAACTGGTCAATTTGTTTAGGCACACAAATTTCTAAGGTGTCTAGTGTCCACGACACAATTAGATGTAGGAAAATAGCCATATAATTTAGCAAACTGGAAACTATAGTAATAAGCCATAAAACAAGCAGAAAACATAGTTTGGCATAATATTATCCCCCTTATTTTAAAAAGTATTTTGCTCCTTATTAGCACAAGGAAGACTGAAAACAATGATGCACACGATAGCGCCAAATACAACATTAAAATAGAACAAGATGCAAGCATATACCTCAGAGTATATCCTTGATGCACCAAGGTAGTCCTTTCTCTTAACTGCTTTTCCTCCCAGTGATTTTAGCTCAACCTTTCTGTCATTGACCTTGCTACATGGCTCATCCTTAATCTGAAACATAAAGTTAGCCTGACAAACTACAGAATATGCAACTTATATGGTTTAGTTCACAGAAAGACAGAAAAATATGTGCACAATACACATGTAAAAAATGATTTTTGTCTCAGAAAAAAAGTTGAGCTCATTAGTTGAAATAAGCGCGTAAACATATTTTGTCAATATGTATGTGCAAGTTGAAAATGCAATACCGACATTTTCTTTTCCATAGATAATGCTCTAAAAATGGAGCCTTCTCCAGATGCTAATAACTGGCTGGCGAGTTGCATCCTCATGGGAACAGCAACACAAGCACGCACAATTCACTACTGGAGAAGTGATCTTTGCTGGGATTACAAAAATCACATTAGTCCCAGTTCGAATAGGAACCGGGGCTAAAGAAGATCTGTAACCCTGGTTCAAAAGCCCAACGACCCTTTACACCAACCGGGACTAAAGATCATTTTTAGTCCCGGTTCAAAAAGTGTCAGGCCCCCACTATCTTTAGTCCCGGTTGGTAACACCAACCGGGACAAAAGTGTCCTCTCCTCCTCGCAAACTCCGTCCTCATCTTTTCTTCCTCCCTTTCCTCCTATCTCTTCCCTCAAGCTGTATATATGAAATCATTTATCTCTCTTCTATCTGACCCCCCCACATCCATCCATCCATCCATTTGGTCAGGGAGCGGGCAGCAGAGCGAGGAAGCCAGCGAGCAGGCGGCGGGCAGTGGCGGCGCACGAGGAGGCAGAGGGCAGCGGCGGCGCCCTTCCTTCCGCCGGATCTGGCGGGAGGGGAGGAGGCAGGCGGCGGGCAATCTGATATGTGATGTTCTTGTTGTTTAGATGTTTTTGTGAATTTGTGGTGTCAATTTGATCTGTGGTGTACATTCAATCTGTAAATTTGTGATGTCAATTTGATCTGTGATGTTCGTTCGATCTATGATTTTGTGATGTCAATTTGATCTATGATGTGATTTTGTGATGTCAATTTGAATATGTTCATTCGATATGTGAATTTGTGATGTTGGTGAGTTTGGCTCTAAATCAATATGCAAACTGCAAAAAACAATGAAAAAAAAGAACTTTAGTCCTGTTTGATGTTACCAACCAGGACTAAAGATCCATCTTTAGTCCCAGTTATTTCAACCGGGACTAAAGATGAGCATCTTTAGTCCTAGATTGGACGTCCCGGTTGCATACCCGGGATTAAAGGGGGTTGCGAACCGGGACTAAAGATGGGTTCCCAGCAGTGATTGCACAAAGGAGAAAAGCACACAAGGGCTTGTTTAGATAGTTGGGGCCTTTTTCGATAGAAAGGTAAATTGAACAAAAATCCCCAATGATACTTTTGCTTGTGCAAATAGATAGATGGGGGCTTGTTGGCGCTACACATAACATTTCCATATGCCCAATCTAAAATATTTAAAAAGATATTGGTGGCACTGAAAGGTTCAGAAGTTTCACTTGATAGGTATCCAGACTCCAGAGCACGTTTTCATTACCAAGGAATTTAAAAAAACCTCAATAATCCAAAGGGATTGTCTAATCCTCATCTACAAAAACAAGCCCTAGAGGAAAAGAGAACTTTGCAAGGCACAACTCTCTTATGTAAACATTTAAGTGGCAGATTCTTACTATTTCATACAGAACAGTTTTCTTACCATATCTTATTTTTCTAAGCAGAGACCATGCAATTCTTTTATAAGCTACAATAACATTAAGTGACAATTAAATATAGATTAGGTTGGTACTGTTGCAAACTTCCGATCCAAGACTAAAATTTGAATGATGAAAGCTCACATATGGGGAAAATGATCATGGCAAGAACTATCAGCTGAATCATTTATCTTTGGGATTTGGAACTAAGAAAGTACAAGTGAATAAGAGAGAGTGAGAATCACTTTCGACAAACTAGAATATACGTGTAATTTAAATCATCAAGGTAAAAAACCATAGAACGGTCTGACAACTTTCAGTTCAAGCCTAACCTTGGGCATTGAGCATCTTGATTTCCCATGAGTAATAATTCCTTCAACTGTCCAATTTGTTACTGCTCTAACAGGGGAAGTGAAAGGAAATAGAATCTCCACATGATTTCTTTTTCGTAAGCTTGCAGCGATTTCTATTGGTGTGCGTCCGCTCTACAAAGTAAAAGAAGAAAGATAACCTATACGATAAACTTACAAAAATAAATTACAATCGCGAGCATGATTATAAAATAAGAACCTTGTGGAGGTGGTTTCCACCTGAATACTCTCATGAAGAGACACGTTAACTTGCTTGAAGTATTAATTGACTTAAATTCAAAAGGCAATAATAAAAGGTTAACTGAATTAGAACAGGTTATTCAGGTTGAATGATACATGGTGTGCACTTGTGCACATATTGATGAACAAGCGTATGCATGTGAATAGCTGATAGAAAAAAAAAATTGAATAGCTGATAGAATGATTTAGTACTCAAAATCAATTATATTATATCATGCACTGAGAAGACAGCAACTTTAAAAAGAATAATAGGGCATAAAAGGCACACACCTGTTTATCTGGGATGTTAGGATCTGCGTGAACCTGAAGCAAGTACTTCATACAATCAGTTAAACCCTCTGTCGTGGCCACCACCAAGGGAGTGTTTGGACAAGCATAGTTCACATCAGCACCAGCCTGGACTAGCATAATTCACATCAGGACCAGCCTGTGCAATTAATATGCGCAATATAGAGATGCTTCGTACAGAAATCCATATAGTTGTTGGATAAACATATACTATGTTCCGTATTTTCCCTGAGGGGTTTCCTTATTTTCCTACATGTACATGCATATATTAGGGCCTACAGTCCTTAGAGATGAATACAAGCACTATTGATAATAATAGTAACTAATAGATTCCCGACTAATAAAGAAGATACTATGAAGAAACAAAGGTGAAGCAGATACCAGACCTTGACAAGCAGCTTTACACATCCCAAAGAATCAGATTCATCCAATCCATGTTTAGTAGAATGAAGAGCCGTGAGTATAGGGGTACCCCAAACTCCTGAAGTGTTATTTGGCTACAAATTTAATATAGAAAATAAAATCATTACACAAGTGAGATAACTCAACAGGTTACAAAAATGTTGCTGCAGAATGTAAAAATAGAACAAGCATTAACAGCCATATATATACATACCCAGGTTCACTTGCACCTAAAATCTGAATCGTTGGTGTGCTTTAAGATGCGTGCTACCTAAATATTCATTGCTCTGTACTTGTGAAGGCTTGCTGTGAAGGCAAAGAAAGAGGAGTGGTACGAATGTCACTGTGCCTCCTGACCTCACTTTCTAATCTTCCAACTTTACCCCTCAGCTAAATTATAGCTCTCTTTCATGCTAAACACACAGTTAATATTACTTTTTTTAAGTGTTGTTTTGAGTTCTTCATCCCACGGTGTGCAACTGTGCATGGTACTTTTTTTTCAGAAATAAGTACCCATACTTTTTTCTATAACTACATAATTAATATACACCTAATAAATTGATCTTTTACTAAATGAAATATGTAAATAATACCTCAGCTAAGATCCACCAAAGGAAGGATATTATGGCAGTTGGCAGGAGAAAATTTGCAGCTATATCATTTTTGAATAAAAATCTAACGTGCATATATAAGATAATATGAATTATAAGATTATGCAACGTGTACATTACTCCAATAAAGAGGTCCGGGACAACTCACGTGATACTTTTGTGGTGCATTTTAAATTTTATACATATTTTCAAATTCATATGAAATGTCATACATATTCGAAATAATGACATATAGCTAGATTTACATTAAATGATGTACCTACAAATGTAATATAGAAAATAATACATGTCAATTTACCATTATAACATTTTACAAAAAGAAAGTTTGATCTATATATGTACATACAATAAAATTTCAACATATCTATATATCTACATTTACAAGAACAGTATATCACCATTCACCAAAAAAGGCAGTTACAAAATGAAATATCGATTTGTTATATACACGGGTTGACATTTTTTTGTTAAACAATTGATGTAACGCAAAACATTATGAGAGCTCATGTGAAATCAAAATCACCAAAAGAAATTATTTGAGGTGAAATGTCAAAACATAAAAATCAGATACTTAGCCAATTAAGTGCTAGCAACGGTTATTAATGATATGACTTAATCAAGTGATTCTACCTTCTAGCACTATCATGCGCATGGGTTAACAGAGAATTGTGAGTGAGTGATGAGCCATTGTCCAATAGGAGTGGAGTACTACTTCAAGGGCATTTTTGGTCTTGGCAATTAGATCATGTACCAACCCCTGCTCACACTATAAGGGCACAAAGCTAGATAGGTACATCTTACAGTGATTATAATGTGTACACATGTCACCCAAATGAGTGAGGTGCATATGAACCAAGGTTCATATTATCCAGCTCCTCTCTCTCTCTCTCTCTCTCTCTCTCTCTCTCTCTCTATATATATATATATATATATATATATATATATATATATATATATATATATATATATATATATATATATATATATATATATATATAATGCGCCTGAAACAATATTATGAAATGATTTATTTGATTTATCAGCACAAAATATGTTAAGAGCCAGTAAACTACGAAGGCATGAAATACCGAATGAACACAAGCACACAAATCATTCAGATTGTATCGAGCTACAAGAATAATGCAAATGAAAAAAACGTGAAAATAGTTATTACATCTGCATGGTGATCCAATAAAATCTTGACAACACCAGTCTTCCCAAAGGAAACAGCAATATGTAGTGGTGTCCCGTGAGCAACAGCTATATCAAGCCTGGATCCACTAGATAACAAGAGACGTGCTACTTCTTCATGCCCTAAATAAAATGAACAACCAACATGGTACTGTCATAACAAAGAACAAGTATTATTAGCACACTACATAATTAGGTAAAAGTAGGATATGTGCTAAAAAGATCCAACTAACTTCTTGCCAAAGCTAAAAATGGCAGGAGTTATAGGCCTCTTGGTGAGGTGCTTAGCTAAATACTTAACTGCTTGTTTTTATAATACTACACAGGACAACAGGAAAATGATCGTTTGTGGGGGAATAGTTGAATAAACAGTAAAAAAAATATAGCTAACAGAACTTTACAAAGAATAATGAGGATAATATTTTAGACAGCTTTACTTCAAATAATAGGAGAGTGTTAATCCAATGTACGAGAGTATAGGAGAGTACAGCAAGCAAACTAGCCAAGCAAAAAAGAATATAGGAGAGTGTTATAATCCAATGTTTAGAAACTACCCCGAGAGAGCAGTCACAAAAATGGATTACTAAATATATTTTTTTCATAATTAAACCCAAAATGGTTCTTCATTTGATGGTTAAATTTTGCGGTGAATCCATCAGTTCATGTTCAGCAAGACATCCTTAGTCATGAAATGAGAAAACATAGTAGTAGGCATGAAGAGAAAGACCATTTTTCACAGCACAATGAAGAGCAACATGGCCTGTCTCATCTATCTTATTAGGATCAGCCCCACAGTCAAGAAGATATCTCACAGTATCAACTTCTCCAAATAATGCGGCACAACCCAAAGCTGTAGCACCTGTCAACAACAATGAAGACAAGTACCTTGTGAGGTTACCAACAACTTGGCTCTCATCCAAAAGATTTCAGCGGTCAAGCTGAAATCCTAGTAGCATGGTAAATAATACGATTTCTGAAAGCGGGTTTGCTATAAATCTTTCGACAGAATTTTAGCATAAAATTACTCATTTTTTAACCGTTCGATATACCTCGAGATATGTGTCCCTTTTTTTTTGGCCTCATCATCCCCAGGCAGCAGGCACAACCAAGTTTTCTTGTTCACTCGTTCCCCAGGTGCAGGGCATAGGTGGCAAATATTTTGCATGCAGCCTTTACCTTTTCCACTACCCAATAATATGATTGGATGACAACTCGACTTTAACACGGGAGAGAGATGAAGGCAATGTTGACAAAGAGAAACCATAGTCTAAGTTACAATGTAAATATTACTCTTACACTACTTTTAACACGCTTTAACTTTTTAGATTTCTATGTAACTTTTTGTATTCTAATTTATCAAAAAAAAATTAATCATATTGTATTTTCTAATGAAACTACTTATTCTTTTTAATCTTGTTAATGAGTTTCTTCTTCGTATTGCTCTAATGTAAGCTAGGAGTTGATAATGGAGAGGTTCAAAAATCCAGGTGATTTTGAATAAAAAATTTGTCAAATGGCATGTAGATAGTCCCTTCTAAAAGACCATCTCACCATAGGATGGCCACAAAATGGCACATTGCACGGAGTAGATGCATGCATTTGTTTGCATTTTAGGAAAGGCTATATGTCCCAGCTTGCTTCTCACTGAATTATGGGATGCTATATATCGATCCTGTATGGAACCTTATGTTATATATGGAATGAAATCTAGAAAGTAGCGTACAAGTTCAGAAATGACCTCAAATCCAAAATACATTTTTTTATCAATCACAGCAGATTGCTAACTAAAGCAGCCCAACTTTCTTATGCTGCTACTATTTATAACATGTCACAATCAAACATAAAAGAATGTAGCATTGTATGAACTAAATATTGTAAAACGCAACAGCTTGGTTGACATAATTTCTGAATAAACTAATAAAACAATCCAAAAATAAATAAATACAATTAATTACTGGAAGAAATGCGCGCACCACCACAGAGGCAACCAGCATTGACGTCAAAGCCAAGCTCCTCCACAAGGTACCTGATGACCTCAATTTTTCCCAGGTTTGCTGCCACTTGCATTAACCCAATGCCATCTATATGCATATCAGTAAGCTTTTCCCTGTCCTTCTCATCCATTCTATTCACCATTTCTGTTTCATAGAAGAAAATGATAATCATGATATGGTGAAAGATTGTGCAACAAAAATTCAATTCTAAACTACCATGTCTGGGTCATAATTGGAAAGTAACATCAAATCACAAAACCATATCTCGCCAAGCACAACTGTAGAGCATGAAAACATCCCAAGCTGAAGGTGTGAAGCACTTCCAGCTTGTAAAGCATAGCGAAATCCAACCGCGATGCAAGCAATACTATAATTGCCCATCAGAGATAAGCAGATTACCGCAGGATCTTAATTCATTAGCAGCTTGGCGCAACCTGCGAAGTGACCAGGGGCAGAACTACGTTATATCACCCGGGTTAGATGACACTGATGATATCTAACCAACCAGTGTGTTCCTTCATATGTGAGAAGTGACCCCATAACCCGATGCTTGTTGACCCTGGCCCGCTCAACTGCAACAGCTCATAGACTAAACGCTCAGAACTGCTCATCACATCTTCCAACATCTTTGTTATGGTGTCGTCAGCCCACCACCACCGCACAGCTAACCCATTAGCATATTTCATCACTTAACAAATTAGCTATTTCTATGTAGTGTGTTTATACATGCAATTAGGCTAGTAATTCTACTAATCATCTACACTACACATTAGGCCTTTTAGTTAATAAACAACTCTGGGGACCTGTTTTTGTGCCCAAAATAATTAGGCGTAGTTTGTCAATTATTATATAGTTTTAGCTCATAAATTATTGCCAAATTTGGAGTTTTATGTCTACATAACTAACTAAAGTGATTTAACACTTTATGTTTAGTCTAAGATAATGATATCTCATCGAAATTATCTCAATCCACAATTAATTTAGTTCCAATATCTTTTGGCTCTAAAGATTTGTAGATTAAAAAAATGATCTTAGAATTAGAGCCTAATTAAACATGGCGTTAGCTTAGACTAGCTAGTGTGACCCCGGTGCCTCAAAATACTGGCTCCGCCCCTGGAAGTGACATGCGCGGAAGGAAAAAAAAACGTAGGCAGACCGATCGAAACAGCCACGCTCGCACGTACACGGACAAGCAAGCAGGCCGACGAGCAACCGTAACATACGCGAGCGCACACACACACGCACGCGCGCCGCGCCGAATCCCGACGAGAAGAAATCAAACCCGCCGCGGCGTCGGAGGGCGGTGAGACGAGGAGGGAGGAGCACTCACTCTTCAGGCGGCGGACGTTCCCCTCCGCCACGGCCTCCAGCAACGCGCTCTCCCTCGAGCCGCCGCCGCCGCCGCTTCCTGGAGGGAGGAGGAGGAGGAGACGAAGAACCGAAGCAGAAGCAACGCCATTAGATACTAACCAAATTGAGATGCGAACTAGCTAGGTTTGATGAGGCGGTGGCCGGGGAGGTGTACGACGAACTGACCGATTGACGTGCGGTCGGCGATCCAGGAGAGGACGTCGGACCTGCTGAGCACATCCGGCGGCGACGGCGGATCCATCCGTGGGCTTCCGCGGCGGCGCGGCGGGGTTTGGGTTTTTGGTGGGGGGGGGGGGGGGGGGTTGAGCGAGCGATGGCTTCGAGGGGAAGGAAGCCGAAGCGGAAGAGGCGGAACCGCCTGTGAGGCTGTGTGAGAGAGAGAGAGAGAGAGAGATTTTGGCCAAGGGGCGGGAACAGAGAGAGAGGAGAGAAGAGAAAACAAGGCGACGCGCCTACGCCGGCGGGGCCAAAGGGAACCAGCGTGCGTAGCGGTCTCCGTCCCGTGTGGCCGTAGTCGCACTCGCACGCGTCGCATTCGACGGACTGGTGTTGGTGTTGCAGCTTGCACAGGTGCGAAGCATATGACGTGACGAGTACACTCCCTCCGTCATTTAATATATATTTGACCATTCATTTTATTTTAAAATAATATGTAATATCATTTATTTTTAAGTGAATTACGCTTTGGGCTATATTTTATTGTATATGTTTCATTTTGGATCACTTTATACATAATCTTTTCACTTTAAACAAAGTAACTTTTATCTTTGTTGTATAATAGACACCCTAACTATCTTCGTTAGCCATGTCTAGCGTCTCCTTCATAAAGGTATGACAAGTTCACCAGCATGCATGTCGTTCACAATTTGCTTAAAGTTATTGAAGTGTTGAAGATGTGGTTTCGGGTGGTCTATTGTGTGATAAAAGGTAAATTTACCTAGTCCAAAGTGTAAAGATTGGACTGCATGGTCCAAAGTGAAACTTTGGCAATAAAACATGCTCGAAATGAAATTAACTTTTTATTTTATTGTGACTTGATTTATCATCAGATGTTCTTTAAACATGACTTTATTTCTTTTATATATTTGCAAAAAAAAGACGAATGGTCATACATTTATAAAAAAAGTCAATAGCGTTTATATATTAAAAAATAAAGGTAGTACTACTGTGTGCTATAGGGACGGGTGTTGAATAACACTGGAAGGAGATCGGGTGGCAACAAGCAGACTGTAGACCGGACAAGATGGCAAACGGTGTGAACCTATAGGGTTGTCAACGAGCCGAGCTCGAGCGAGCTCATCTGCCTAGACTCGAGCTCGACTACCGAGCTTGATTTTTAAGTAACACAATATATATTTCAAAGATAATCTTTTAAAAAAATAATTAATTTCTAGTTCATCGTATTAATAGAAAAGGAAAAAAAGAACAAAATAAATATATGACGTCAATATAAGACATACAAATAACATATTTGATCTCCTAATTTATTAAATAACAACAAAAATCATATATTACTAGGCTCGTTAGAAGCTCGAGCTCGGCTCGACAAAGCTCGCGAGCTTAGGGAAAGGCTCAGGCTCAGCTTGTCTGGATCGAACCGAGCTCGAATCAAGCCTAGGATGAGCCGAGCTCGAGTAGCTCACGAGCCTCGAGCTTTTTTGACAGCCCTATGCACCTATATGCAAAGGAGATTAGCTAAAAACTTTTTCGCTCAACGGGCTTTCACAGAGGCGATGTGTTGGCTTTCAACCCGAGCGCTCCATGTAAAAAATTTAGCGCCACGTTCGCGTCAGGGCTCACCAACCTTCCTGATATTATCAAATTTTATTTTTTTTGTTAAATTTCGTACTGATATAATGTAAAAATAGAGTTTATAAGAGCTGGCTCAGTTTGGAGAAATTTCAACATGTAAGAATAAGAATACATACACTGATACACATATCAATAGCTAAAAACTTTCCAAAAGGTTAGAATAGATGTTTTTTTGTTCTCTCCCTATATGTTGTAGGAAAGGAAATTTTCCTTTCGTTTTATATGTTTCATCCGTACAAACCAAGTGACACTTATAGGAATTAATCCTTATAAATCCAAATCATTTGTTTTTCCTTCAAAGTGAAGAAACCCCAATTGATGTTAGTAAAATGAATTGATCTTTTTAATTTTGAGCGGACTGAATCCATCTTAATTTTAAATATTTCTTACGTGGGAATGTATTATCAAAATCCTAACCGATCCCATGAGATCGTATAATCTGTTACGATATTACGTAGGATCGAATAGTACGAAAAATTAGGATACACGCTATGATCAAGATCGTTATGCCTTGGCAAGATAATAGTATCCAACGTTGCTCACAAGGAGATGATAAGTGAGGAAGAGAAGCTAAATAGAGTGATTTGCTTTATAGATATTGTATAAAAACTAGGTACAATAGTAAGTTTCCTTGTTACTCCCTCCGCTTCGTTTCAAGTTATAAGTCGTTTTGACTTTGGTCAAAGTCAAACTATTTTAAATTTGATCAAGTTTTATAGATAAATATAGTAATATTTGTGAAAGGGCATGTAGCTTAGTGGTTACAGTGACCTGAGTAGCACCCCAAGGTCCCGAGTTCAAATCTCTATAGGAGTAAATTTTAAATTAGGTTATTTGAGGGCTAAGTTCCCTATTTGATAGGCTAAGTTCTTAATTTAAAATGATTGCATTTATCCAGTTGGATATAAAGGCCGGGTAAAAATACCCTTTAAAAAACAATAAAAATATAGTAATATTTATAATACTAAATTAGTTCAATTAAATCTATAACTGGATATATTTTTATAATATATTTGTCTTGGGTTAAAAACATTATTACTTTTTTCTACAAACTTAGTTAAACTTAAAGCAGATTGACTTTGACTACACTCAAAACGACTTATAACATGGAGTACCTAGCAAGAAGCATTGTGAGAGTGATAAATAACTACTACCTGGTTATATGTCTACTACCTACAATAAGGAATAAATTATGTTATTTGCACAACACCCATGTGTCAGCGATATAGGTCCAGGGGTACCAAGCTTAGAAGGGAGAGGCCGCCCCTAGTGTCCACGTGGCGCTCCCCCCCCCCCACGAGGGGGTCGGGCCCGTGGATAGGTGGCGGCCACCTCCTCTAAGCTGATGGGTCGGGCTGCCCCAACCCTTCCCCGCGTTCGCCACATGGATGGGGTTAGGTGAGCGCGGCCCAGCACCCACCTAACTGCTTTTAATGCGGGCAGAGCAAGCGCACCACGCCGTACTAAATGCGGCATGTTGCGTACCTGACAGGCCAACAACCGGTCACCAACCGGTCGCAGGCCAAATGACAGATGGGACGGCGGCGAGCCGCCCATGCCCTGACCGTGTGTCAGGCGGCGTGTGGCAGGTATGCCCTGTCCCATCGTGATGATGGGGGCCTTGAGCCACTCATCCCAACCGGAGTAGGCATGACTGCATCGGATGCGCCCTAGATTGTGTTCCCAGTACACACGTCCTTAAGTCTTCGTCCATTAAATGGTGAGTGACAGGGGCGTCCCTCGTGTCATGTCAGCCGGCATGATTTGATGGGCCCCGCACGGCAGCCGACGCATGGGTGACTTCCAAGCCAAGGCACAAGACACACATTTAATATACGGAATATTTTCCTCCTCTCTAGGCGGCTTTGGGAGCGCATGTGGTAACCCCTTAAGATATAAAAGGAGGTTCAGACCTGCTGAGGAGGGGGTTGGATCCCAAAAACACTGGGTCGAAGGTTGAGTTCTAGCTCACTAGAGATTCAAAGACTTTGTAAGCTCAGAAAAATAATCATACAACAGAAGTAGGGTGTTACGCTTCTCAGCAGCTCAAACCTGTATAAACCTCCTGTGTGGCTGTGTCTCACCCATCTTGAGGGCCGGACCCCCTCGACATAGCCATCTATTTCCATCTCTCCAACTTCTCAACGTTCACTCGCTGCCCCCCTAGGCCGAACTAACACAGGGGGGCTGCACAGTCCCCCGCTAAAGGAGTTCACCCTCCGATACCATGAGTATCAACAGGTTCTTTTCTCGCAGGAAGGAGTCACGGGAGCCAAGGGATTGGTGAGTTTTTTTTTACATGCCCCACGTACATTATACCATACCATCCTGCAAAACAATATGGACTTCATCTCCTGCTACTACCGCGTGCTGTCCGGACCACATTTCTACCGAGCTCGGTAACAAACATTAGGCATATGCTCTAAGATGAATGTGCACACGTATATACAAGCGTCTATGTTTATGCTATATTTGAAAAAAAAATGGAAATGATGACGCCGAATCGATACAATTTGACCAACTCATTTAATACCAAACTTTAAGTAATGCAGGTTATTTCTTATCCTAGTTTGTTGCAAACCAAGCAAATAGCCCTAGACGTCGTACCAAAATATTAGCTTACATTTGACAGTAAACCACTTGTCTTTGTTTTACCAAAATTTAACGGATTTACCTAACCTATTTACCAAGCCGAGTGCGTATCCAAGAATCAGATCGCGAGCAGGTCCGTTGAGTTTTCATGACAAATCACTCCAGGAAACATCTCAATATAGAGTCTCGCCAATCGCTACCACCTCGCTGTATGTTTGATGTCATGAAACCATCCAAGGGCGTACTAGTCAGAGACAGTTCAAACTAGTTATTGAGAAATACTACTCCATATAATGGGTGTGTTTAGTTCACGCTAAAATTAGAAGTTTAGTTGAAATTAGAACGATGTGACGAAAAAGTTGAAAGTTTACGTGTGTAGGAAAGTTTTGATGCGATGAAAAAGTTAAAAGTTTGAAGAATAAGTTTGAAACTAAACACGGCGAATGTTAGACAGAACATAGCCATCAAACTCCACACAACTACACAAGGTGGACAGAGAAGCATACAGTAACTAAGTTCTCTGCAAGAGATGCGATATGATCAGACCCTTGGAAGTGTTCAAACCCAGCATGAGAGCATGTAGTATAGTAAATATGCACATGCAATCTAATCAACCGACTTAAGTTTTATCTTCAGCGGCATCATCCTTTTTCATCGCCTCAACTGCCTCCCTGCGCAAGTAAATCAAAGAATAAATTTCATAAAACTACATATACTATCACCAAATTATCACAAAACTATAGATTTGGCATCAAATTTATCCCAAAACTATATATTTAAGATGGAGTGTCACAAAACTATATATTTAGCAAAAGAATATCATAAAACTACAGGTCCGGAATCAAGTTAGTCATAAAACTATAATGTTTATAGCTCCAACAATGGTGCTAATTATTTAAACTAAATCAATAGTTTTACGGTAACTTCAACATTAAATATGTAGTTTATGATACTTGGCCTTAAATCTGTACTTTTGTGATAAATGTAGTGCTAAATCTTTAGTTTTGTGATACAATACCTTAAATCTGTAGTTTGGTCAAAATGCATGTAGTCTCGTGAAATTTACTCTAAACCAAATGACGTTAAGAAGCTCAAAAGAGGGGCTACAACGTATTTGGTGCTAGATGCAGACCGAGACTTTCTAAATATCCATATTTCTGAGGATATATTCATACTAACAACTACCTGATTCACTGAACAACCTGATGTCAAACAAATAAGCCTCATATACCAATGTAACACGTAGGCCGGATAATTTACAATTTATATGCAATGGATTATGGCTAACTATTCCGGGCAGCAAAGCTTATCAATAACTTGGCACGTGCAAGCAGCCAAAATATGTATATACGTGTATAATCACATTGCTTACATAAAAAAAAGAAAGTGATTTGTCGTCCAAACTCCACAGGTAAAACCATATATAGGTGTAGTACGAAACATCATAGACAGAAGCATTACCACATCACTTTCTCAATCTCGGCATTAGCAGGATCCAGTTTCAGCGCGTTCAAGAATGCCTCGAATGCTTTCTTGTGCTCCTGCGGGCAGAAAATTGGGCAGATGCTTGACATCAAGCTGATGTAAAGGGCAACATGTGATTAACACACTGGAATAATTTTTCTGACCTTTAGCAACATCAAAGCAGCTCCTTCCCGGTAGTGACCTTTCATCCACTTAGGCCGCAGTTTTACACATTTTTTTGCGTCAAGCAAAGCCTTTTGTGCTTTTCCAATTTGTAGGTAACAAAGGCTTCTGTTTGAATACAGGGTTGCATCAAAATAGTCTAGCTCAAGCGCCTGCATCAAATTGAAGATAAAGTTGCATAATATGTGCAAAACAAATTTGTGAAACAGTAAGGGAAATTTTATTACAGATGAATGCATCCACCAATAGTTCATTTTAAGCTGAAGTTTCCATTCAAAAATTACCGTAGCTAGTAGTGTCCAACTTTCCATATACTAGCTGTCTAACATAGTAGCACGTAGACAAAGAAATATTATTTATGCAAATCTTTCAGTCTAGTTTCTCCTTTTTCTTTTCTCTTAGGTTATTTGTAAAATGGCTACGAGGGTTGAAGTCCCCACTCCGTAGAATCAAAGATGCATGGTCCCTCCTATGTATTCTTTTTTCTAACAAAGCAACTTCAACACATCTAGAAGGCCATAGATTTTATCCAACACTGGTTCGTAATTTGGTTAAGACTTGTACTCACAAACCGTCAACTGATCAATTTGCTTAGGCGCAGAAAAACTTTAAAGTGTCCAGTGTCCATGACATAATCAGACATAGGAAATAGCCATCTGATTTAGCTAATTAGAGCCATTCCCAAGAAGATAAAAGTAAAGTACATAAGAAGCACAAAATACAGTTTGGCAGAACATTTTCCCTTCTCTTAAAAGTTAAACTATTTTGTTCCTTACACACTAGCACAAGGAAGATTGAACCAGTGATGCACACAAGAGCACTACAACATCAAAATAACGGAACAAGTAAGATGCAAGCATACCTTAGTGTAGATCTTTGATGCAGCAAGGTAGTCCTTTCTCTTAACGGCTTTTTCTCCCTGTGATTTTAGCTCAGCCTTTCTGTCACTGACCTTGCTACATGACTCACCCTAAACCATAAACATAAATTAAGCCTCGCAAACTACAAAATACGCAACATACATGGTTTAAGAACTTCACAAAAAGATGGAAAATAAGTGCTCACAGTACACATGTATAAAAAACGGCTTTTGTTTCAGAAAAACAAATTAAGGTCATTAATTGAAATAAAAGTATAAGCATATTTTGTCAATACCTGCAAGCTGAAAATGCAAGAGCAACATTTCATCTTTTCATAGATAATGTTCTAAAAATGGAGCGCTATCCAGGTGCTAACAACTGGCTGGCAAGTTGCATCCCCGTGGGAACGGAACACAAGCGTAGACAAAGTTGAAAAGCACACCAAGGTGGGGGTTAGTTTGGATAGACAGGTATATTGAACAAAACTCCCCAATAATCCTTTTGCTTGTGCAAATAGATCCAACAGGCTTGCGAGGGTTGGAACTACACATGCATCTCCCATACGCCCAATCTAAAATATTTAAAAAGATATTGGTGGCACTCAACGATTACAGAGCATGTTTTCATTACCAGGGAACACTGCTCTGCTTAAATATACACAACAATATGGAGGGATTGTCTAATCCATCTACACAAACAATTCCAAGAGGAAAAGAAAACTTTGCAGAGGCCACAACTATCCTATTTAGACAAGGGGCAGATTCTTACTATATCATATGTATCAGTTCTGTTACCATATCCTTTTTTTAAGCGGAAACCATGCAATACTTTTATTAGATATGATTTCCGCCCCAAAATATAAGGGATTTTGGCTATGTATCTGGACACGCTCATGTTTGGTACTGTAACTTTGAATCCAAGTCTACAATCTGCATGATGAAAGCTCACAAATAATGGGGATTCAAATGATCATGACCAGAGCTATCAAGTGACCGTTTTATCTTCAGAATTTGGAACTAAGAAAATGAAAATGAAAAGGAGAAAAAGAATGACTTTTGATAAATTAGAGATATACACATAGTTCAAATCATCAAGCTGAACAAGCATAGAACGGTCCAAGAACTTCTAATTCAAGCCAAACCTTGGGAATCAAGCGTCTCGATTTCCCATGAGCAATAATTCCTTCAACTGTCCAGTTTGTTACTGCTCTGACAGGGGAAGTGAAAGGAAATAGAATCTCCACATGATCTCTTCTTCCAACACTTGCAGCAATTTCTATAGGTGTAAGTCCGCTCTGCAAAGTAACAGAAGAAAGAAGATAAACCTATACGATAAACTTATCAACATATATAAGAATCGAGAGCACGATTATTTAATAAGCAAGAACCTTGCAGAGGTGGTTTCCCACCAGAATACTTTCAAAAAGAAAAATGCTTAACTTATTTGAAGTATTAATTGACTTAAATTCGAAAGGCTAGCCAATGATAAAAAGTTGACTGGATTACAACAAGTAATTCAGGTTAAAATTGAATCATACATGGTGTGCACCAGTGCACACAGAGATGCACAAGTGTATGAATGGAACACCATGTCAGGAGCACATACTTAACATACCCGTGAATAGAAAAAAAAAAGAATAGCCTATAGAGTAATTTAGTACTCAAAGTCACATGTATTAGATCATGCACTAAGACGAACAGCAACTTAGAAAGAATAGCAGGGCCTCAAAAGCACACCTGTTTATCTGGAATGTTAGGATCTGCATGAACCTCAAGCAAGTACTTGATACAGTCAGTTAAGCCAGCTGTCGTGGACACCACCAAGGGAGTGTTTGGATAAGCATAATTCACATCAGCACCAGCCTGGACTAGCATAATTCACATCACAACCAGCCTGTGCAATTATACTATAATATACACAATATAGAAGCGCTTCACACAAAAATCCATGTAATTGTTAAATAAACATATATGTTCTGTATTTTCCTTTGTATGAAGGGTTTCCTAATTTTCCTACACATGTACGCCTACAGCCCTTAGAGATGAATACAAGCGCTACGGATAACAATAATCTAGTAGACTCTCAACTATTCCCTCCGTTTCACAATGTAAGACTTTCTAGCATTGTCCACATATATATAGATGTTAATGAATCTAAACACATATATATGTCTAGATTCATTAACATCTAAATGAATGTGGGCAATGCTAGAAAGTCTTACATTGTGAAACGGAGGAAGTGATGAAGAAGAAAATATGAAGAAACAAAGGCGAAGCAGATTCCAGACCTTGACAAGCAGCCTTACACATTCCAAACAATCAGATTCATCCAATCCATGTTTAGTAGAATGAAGAGCCGTAAGTATAGGGGTACCCCAAACTCCTGAAGTGTTGTTTGGCTACTAATTTAATAAAAAACAATCACTCCCTACTGGTTGCAGAAATGTGACTGCAGAATGATAAAACAGAACAAACATAAACAACCATATATTTCTCTGCATTTCCATGTGTTTGCAACAATCTCGTATGTATTTGTTAAAATTAAACTGTTTAAGACTAATATGTTACCCAGTGCTTGGAAATACAGTTAACAAAATTGTCATGATTTCATAGCCCAGGAAAATTAACAATTAAAATATTCAACCATAAGCACCTAAAACAATATTATGGATGATTTATTGGACTTATCAGCAGAAAATATGTTAATAGCCAGTTAATTACGATGGCGTGAAATATCAAATGAACACAAACACATTCAGATTGTATCAAGATAGTGAAAATGACAAAAACAATCAAAATTTCTTATTACATCTGCATGGTGATCCAATAAAATCTTGACAACACCAGTCTTCCCATAGGAAACAGCGATATGTAGTGGTGTCCCATGAGCAACAGCTATATCAACCCTGGCTCCACTGGATAACAAGAGACGCACTACTTATTCATACCCTAAACAAAATGAACAAACAATATGGTACTGTCAAAAAAAAGGACATGTATTATTAGCATACTACATAATTAGGTAAAAGTAGCATTTGTGCTAAAAAGATCCTTAGGTAAAAGTAGCATTTGTGCTAAATAGATCCTTCCAACCACCCATCTTGCCATAGCTAAAAAAATTTTAGGAAATTATAGGCCTCTTAGTCTAAGAGGTGCTTAGCTAAACAATTAACTAATTGCTGTTATAATACTGCACATGAAAACAGGAAAATCATCGCTAATGGGAAAGAGTTGAATAAATAGTAATACCAATATAGCTAGCATTACTTTGCAAAGAATAACGACAGTAATATTTTAGACAGGAATACTTCAAATAGCAGGATGGTTTGTAGATTACCTGTCATGTGGGTAACACACACTAGTCAAGCATAAAAAGAATATAGGAGTGCTAATCCAACGTGCAAAAACTAGCCTGAACAAACAGTCACAACAATGAATACTAACTATACTTTTTTCACAATTAAACCAAAAATGGTTCTTGATTTGATGGTTAAAATTTTGAACCCATTAGTACATGTTCAACAAGACAGTCATAAAATGGGGAAAAAAATAATAGTAGACATGAAGAGAAAGACCATTTTTCACAGCACGATGAAGAGCAACAGAGCCTGTCTCATCTATCTTATTAGGATCAGCCCCATGGTCAAAAAGATATCTCACAGCATCAGCTTCTCCCAACAATGCGGCAGAACACAAAGCTGTTGCACCTGTCAAGAACAATCAAAACAAGTACCTTGTGAGATTACCAACAACTTGGCTCTCATCTAAAAGTAGCGGAAGAGGCGGAATCGAGAGATTTCGGCGAGGGGGCAGGAACGTGGGATAGGCTACGCGCGGCACCTGCTGCTGTGTGTGGACTGTGGAGCACTGGAGCGTGATTTCCGCGTGGGCGTAGCAGCACGAGGGTAAAGTACCTTAAGCACAAGCACTTTGGGCATGAATTAAATTTGAAAAATATACTCCTCAAAAATATTCAGGATATAAACTTTTTTTCGACAGAAATATACCGTCAAAAATAATGTGAGCGTGACGACACATTTAATTGGTCCTACCACTGTGCCACATCATGTAGGATGGCATGTCAGACGCCGGGTGGTCGACACTCGACAGGTCCCTGCTTCACAGTAGCCCATGCACACATACGGAGTACATCGGCAGTGTTTAAGTTCCCTTCAAACTAAAAATTAAAAATTCCGTCACCTCAAATATTTAGACAAATACATAAAATATTAAATATGGACGAAAAAAATCAATTGTATAGTTTGCATGTAAATTGCGAGACGAATCTTTTGAGCCTAATTACGCTATGATTTGACAATATGATGCTACATTAAACATTTGCTAATGATGAATTAATTAGGCCTAATAAATTCGTTTCGCGGTTTACAGGCGAAATCCGTAATTTGTTTTGTTATTAATCTACGTTTAATACTTCAAATGTGTGTCCGTATACTTCAAAAAACAATTGGCACACGAACTAAACACGGACGATATAAAGAATCCAAAAAGATTATATTGTCATGTCGAACAACCGTTATTGATAAGGGTACCTGTTGAACAACCGTTATTTTGATAAACACCATGTCGAATTTTGTTTGTTTGATATAGTGCTAAACTTGTGATTTTGAGTATATGATTATATTTTTGCAATTCTCTATTAAGAAATATTATTTCTAAGAAATTCTAGTAGTGGTGTTGCACCGGTGCAAGGGTGCAAAGCATGGTATGATAACAGTGAGTACTTTGGTTTGTTTTGCATTTTGGTACTTTGGAGTGTGACTGCGTACTACTATTGTGTGTGGACGGGCGTCGAAGCACTATCGGAGTTTTGGGTGCCAAATGCCAACCGTTTACAAAAGCATATTGTTATCGCGGTTATCATATGCAGTAGCCCTTTCAATTTTAAAACCATGGTACACCTCGCAGTTACCACGGTATCCGCTAATCCGTAAGGTGATGGTAACCCCACCGCCCACCCCAAACAATTTGGTAAACCTAGTATCAACAAACTACTACATATCAGAGCCATTGTTATGGCACTACGCATACGGGCGCTCTCTGGTTTCTCGGGCTCAATCCAATATCAGGAATTCACGATCACAATACTATTGTAAGGTTCCATTTCTTTTAAAGAATAAACACTTTTTATATAGATGGTATTCTAAATTCAAATAAACTCATTTTAAAATTTATAATAATTGCTAATAACTTGCCTCGTTTGATTTGCAGGTTCGAACTAAGCCAGCGTAGGATTGTTTGAACTTGATAGAGTTAAGTACTCATGCCCAACAGATACCCAATACTACTCCCAATCCTAAAATTTTAGAGTTTTGCACAAAAAATTGCCTCCAACAGACCTCCTATCAACATCCCAAAAAAATAGAAATCCCAACTCCGTTATTCTCGTTCTCCACTCGTAGAGAAGACCACTCACTCCCAATCTGTCGATCACAGGAAATTCGCGCGCACCGCCGTCGGCTCCGCTGCAGTCCAGAGCTTATACGTCGTCGGCCCATCGCAAGGTCATCCACCACCAGCACATGACAACCGACGGCCGATTCGCGTCGTCACTGACTCGATTTGCACTATTGTCGATCCTCAATTCATGGCGTCGCCAGCCCTCGAATTGCGCCGCCGACGGTCGTCTCGAGCTGTCCGCCCAAGTCGCACCGTGGCCGGCCCCCGAACTTGTCTATCGCCGCCCTGAGACGCGTTGTGGCTGGCCCCCAAGCTCGTCCTTTGCCGCCTCGATTCGCGCCTTTGGTGAGCCCTGCTTCGTGCTGCGGCCGGCCTCCGAGCTCGTCCCGCCACCACCTCGATTCACGCCTCCGGTGAGATCCACTTCACGCTGTGGCTGGTCTCCAAGATCGTCCACCGCGCCTTTGATTCGTTCCTCCGCCGGTGCCAAAGCGTCTCGCTGCATTGCTCGGCCGTGTGTGCGAGTTCGTCAGCCGCTAGCTGTCGTGACTCGTCCGTCGACGAATTGGTTCACGCCGCCGCCAGCTCGTTTGTTCTGCCAATGGCCCCCGATTTGTACCGCGCTGGTCCGTTGCAAGCTCGTCTACCACCGGCCCCCGATTGCTGCAGTCGCCGGCCGTCGCGAGGTCGTCCGCTACCGGCCACCCATTCATGCCGCCACTAGCTCATGTGCGGGAGAACAAGCGAACGAGAGAGAAGATGCAGAGGAGGAAGAAAAGAAAGGAAATAGGGATTGACAGGTGGGCTCCACCCGTAGTCATCATTACCTTACGTAATCTGTTGGAAAAGAGGATATCTTAGAACCTTAAAATCCTACGGAAATGCTGAACTACCGGTATACCGTCCCGATGGGATAGGATAGACACCAACCAATCCACTCTTCTTCTACCTAGCTATTCTTTCTACAACATCTCTCTCACGCGCGCTGCTGCAACTAAGTCAACGACGAGCTCCGGCGTGGCATGGGTGTGGATGACGGAGGACGCGGTCACCGGCGACGAGCTCCGACGCGGCCGCCCCCGACGAGCCCCCGGCATCGCGGACTCTGGCGACGAGCTTCAGCGTGGCGTGAGGCACGGACGGTGGAGGATGTGGCCGTGGCGACGAGCCGCGTGGCATGGGTGTGCATGACGGAGGACGCGGTCGCCGGCGACGAGCTCCGACGCGGCCGCCCCCGACGAACCCCTAGCATCGCGGACTCCGGCGACGAGCTTCCGCGTGGCGTGAGGCACGGACGGCGGAGGACGTGGCCGCGGCGACGAGCCCGGCGTGGGGAGCGACGACGGAGGATGCGGCCGACAACGACGTGGTCGCCGGATTGTTGCCTGGAGCTCCAGCACCGCCATCGCCATCCACGGCGCCGCCGTTAACGCCCACCTCCGGCTCCATCCGCGTGGCCAGCCGGCGCGCCCTCCGCCAGCGCCCCAACTCTATCACGGGCCCTCTCCAGTCGCCGCCTTCGTCGTTGGCCGTCGATCCCGCTGCGAATCCAGGCCTTCATCCTATCCATCTGCCGCTTCGGGGAGCAAAGAGACAAGACGGGGTGCAAAGAGCTTGTTGACCTGGTCACGGTTGGCTGTGGAGTGTGGTAGAATTATCTTCTACATGGTAAGAATCGCATGATACCTGATAGGTATTATCTTCTACGTTGTAAGAATCGCATGATACCTAATAGGTATCATCTCGATACCTGATAGGTATCACCCGATACCGGCTAGGTATCAGGACCTGATACATCGCAAGCATCACCCACCACGTGGTAAGAATCGCATGATACTTGATAGGTATCACCCGATACCGGCTAGGTATCAGGACCTGATACATCGCAAGCATCACCCACCACGTGGTAAGAATCGCATGATACCTGATAGGTATTATCTGATACCTCGCAAGTATCACCTGATACGTGGTAGAATCGCATGATACCTGATAGATATCAGGACTTGATATCTAACCGGTATCATATCGTTTTTGAATGGAATTGCGGTATATAGTAGCTATGATACTGGGACTAATAACCACTAGGTATCGTTTATCGAGACCGATACCCACCATGTATCAAATATGATACTTGGCCATCTGGTTATCTGGTACTTGATACCAACCGGTATCACACACGATGCCTGTTATAAGGCATGGCACCCACTCGGTATCAGACGTGATACCTGATAATAGGCTTGATGATCACCCGGTATCAGATGTGATACGTACCCAGTATCAGATTTGACACCTGGTAGCTAGGTAGGCTACTACTTGCTATACTGAACTAGCTAGCTTGGCTATCACATGAAGATTTTTTGTGCGTATACACGTGGACAAAATGACAAACGATGGGTCAATGGGGGTGACATGACACACCTTTTGAGACACGATGACGATACACATGACATACTAATTGAACGGGAACGAAAGGAATCGTCCGGCTAACTGCTTGTAGGCATGTACCGTCCGAACGATATACCGGTATATAGCAGCCCTCTAAATCCTATTATGAAATCTCTAAAAAGTCATTTAGGGAATTGATTTATTGGGTATCTCTTGGTGATGCTCGTATCGAATTGTATGATCAATATACAAAACATTGTTAACATATATTCATATTATAAGTCATTTTGATTTTTTTAATCAAACTTTTTAAGTTTAACAAAATTTATAAAAAAATTAGCAATATTTCAATACAAACAAACATATTATCCTAATATATTCGGTGTAATATTTATTGAACTAATTTGATGTCATAAATATTGTTATATTTTTTAGTCAAACTTAAAGGAATTTAACTGGAAAATCAAAACAACTTATAATATGAAACAAACTAATCAAAACGACTTATAATATGAAACAAACCAAGCAATATAGAGTACCTAAGCAGTCATACCAAGATATTGGCTTACATTTGACAGTAAACTACCTTTCCTTACTTTACCAAAATTTAACGGATGTACCTCACCTATTTACCAAGCCTAAAGAGTGCGCATCTATCGAATCAGATCGCGTGCAGGTCCCTGGGAACACCAGCAAGAAAGCTACAACAAAACTCAGCGTATTGAGCACAAAGGCAAAAATAAATATCTAGAACAGGGCAACTAAAGCGCACCAAGTCACTAATAGAAACAGCGCATACATATAATGCGAGAACAAGCTAAGCAAGGCAACAAGTAGCGTTTTCATGACAAATTACTCCAGGAAACATCCATCTCAATGTATTTAGCAGCTAATTGCTCGCCAGTCGCTGGCACCTAAAAGAGACCACCTCTAGGAAGTTTGAAGTCATGAAACCATCTAATTAAGGGCGTACTACTCTCTTCAGACGAGTACAGATTAAGTCCCCCAAAAAACACCCTGAACCAAGCAGGAAATCGACCAGATCCTAATCAAATGAGCTGACAGTCTTCCCAGCCAAATGTTTCTTCTTCAATGCCGCGGCTGCCTCCCTGAAAGGGTAAGAACATTATTTTTTAGAAAATCCCTAGGTGGCTTCAAGCTACCATGCAATTATTCTATTTTGTGAAAAAAAAAACTGCTACTATTAGAATGGTAAACAATTCAATGATCAGGCTCACGGTTTCATTAACACAGATAACATATGAGCATTATGATTCATAAGAACAGGTACCGTTTTGTGGGACAGGGTCATTTTGGTGTGAAAGGCCATTCAGAAGTTCAGAACTGTGTTGAAGAGAAAGAAAGGTAATGGATAGAAATGAGTACCAAAATGCTTCATGCATCTCCCCACTTGCAGGATCCAGTTTCACTCCATCCATGAATGCATCACATGCTTCTTTGTATTCCTAATAATAAAAAGGTGCAGCGGGTTATCTACAGGTTGTGACGTATAAAGAAGCTGAAGACAGGAGTTGCATTTTTAGTTCACCTTGAGCGACATCAGGGCAGCTCCTTTCCGATAGTAACCTTTTGGCCAATCTGGTTTCAGTCCTATGCAAGTCTTAGCATCAACCAAAGCTTCCCGTGCTTCACCACTTTTTAGGTAGCAAAAGCTCCTATTTGAATGCAATGTTGCATCGGTAGGATCCAGCTGGATGGCCTACATAAAAACAAGCAATAAGAGGAAAATATGTGAATCTGTGATCACACAACATAAACCAACCTAAGACCAATAGTCTATCAATTATAATTTCTTCTATCGATTTGACTTGGAAACAATACAATAGTCATGCTTGATGAATCATAAAATTCCTATATAATTGGAACCCACTTATTAACCCTTGCTATGAACTCAACATGCCACATATCACAGAAAACAAGAGCCTTTGGATACTCCCATGATCATGTTACTCCAAACATTTTATTTATTCGATCACTTTTCTTGTTCTTTTTTTGCTTATTTTTTACTTTGTGATTGGTATATTTGAATATTATCTCTTTACTATTTTCCAATTCATGTCAATCTGTATTGCATCTTCAAATGTTTTTTTTTTGAAGTATCTATAAATTAACACTGCAACGCTCAAGGTATCCAGTAGTTCCAATTATGAACAAGCTTTGATTTCTGTGGCTAAAATCAAACTTGTTTCACAGGGAAATCCAATTCCAAAAGATCACTTGTTAACATAAATCTGAGTGCCAAGGTTTCAACTATTCACTCTGAGAAAGTCTCCAGGAGGCTCATAATTGAAACAAGCTAACTATGACACAGAACCAGTTCAATACCAAGTACCAAACCAGATATGTAAAATGCCAATTTTATCAGTTCTAAAATAACGTTTTTAAGCACACAAGATACAAAAGAAGAGCTTGGGAAACAAACAAAATCAACCATAAGTTGGTCTATTTGGTCAGTGGAATATCAGGTCTAGTTTGAAAACAAGAGAGGAAAAAACTCAACACATTGGTTATTTGTCCTGTAGTTATCAGGTTTCATCCAACCATGGCTCAAAAAGCATTCATAATATTTTTTGCACACAGAAACAAGACTTCACATTTAGCCATTCCCCTTCCAGCTAATTTCTGGTAATATGCCATTTGCCAGTATATACCAAGGAAATTACTAAATATGCCTAAAGAAAAACTAATCAAACATAAAGTATTATTACTGTAGTGAAGACAACAGGTGTATAAGTAACGATAGCAGAATTCCAAATGTGGTAAGTCAACTCTTTCCTAAATGTAACTGGTATTAGAACTTCCAGGCACTTTTTCATCCTCTTCCATGTTTAACCTCACCAAGGAAATGCCAGTTGCTACTCCTCTCACCCTCATCTTTTACAAATTCCAATGTAATAAATGAAGGGCAACAAAGTCATTTGAGTTATCTTCTTAATTCACAGCACAAGTCCAAAATGACTTATATTTGGGATTAGAGGGAGTAGGAACTAATAGAACTTTCCAATGGGAAGATATGATGCACAAAATATACCTCACTGTAGAATTTGGATGCACCAACATAGTCCTTCCCCTGAACTGCACTTGCACCCAATGATTTCAACTGAGCCTTTTTGTCTGTACCACTTTCCTTATCCTAAATCATTAAGAAAACTTAAACTGAGAACTCCAAATTAAAGCCTCTTGTTGACTACTTGTTTACTCTTACGCATGACGATGGCTTTCTGATAGGAATGCAGTACAATTCTTGCAAGTACCTATGCAGACCACGGCTTGACTAACTAACAGAGTCAGTGTGTAGGTAAAAAGATGAACTAGTACATGTTTGTTACTAGCAGGTAGGCAGGTGAAGCACAAGATAGAGATAGCATGCATTTTTAACTCTGATCTCAGAAGCAGGGAAAAAGTTACAGACTACAGAAGATACACAACAAAGAAATGCATAATCGCACATACAACACTGAGCTGAGAGTTCAGACGTTCAGACCTGAGCGCATGCTTTCTTCTTTGATTTTTTTGATTTCACATGGGTGATGATTCCTTCAACAGTCCAGTTTGACACACCTTTAATTGGCAACGTGCAAGGAAATAGAATCTCCACAAGCTTCCTTCTTCCAGACTTCGCGGCTATTTCTATTGGTGTCTTACCACCCTATTGCGTATCAAAAGAGAGATGGAGAAAAATATTTCACAATATGTAATAAGTAATACTCCGTAATAGAAGACATAGGCCCTTGCGCACCATCTAGATGGCATGTTGACAACATAACACATTACATTAAAGCAGCAGCAGCAGCAAGCCCCCCAACAGCAAGCATACACACACTCAAAAAATCAAATAAGGATCGCAATAAAAAAGAGTTTAGAACTCACGTTATTAGTTGGAATATTGGCGTTTGCACCAGCCTCCAACAAGTACTCAACACATTCAACAAAGTCTTTGTTAGTTGCTATCACCAGTGGTGTATCAGGAATAGCGCGGTTCAAATTAGCACCAGCCTGTGTATACAGACATCATAATATGAAGAAAAAAAATGTGGATATCATAGTTCAAATAAAGCATATGGATCTAATTAGAAGCACATCACATAATACAATCCCCCCCGGTGATTTAAAGGTAAAGAACATTCTGAATTGGGTAACAGACCTTAACAAGAAGCTTTATGCACTTCAGCACAGCAGGTTCATTCAGTCCATCAGAAGCAATAAGTGTTGCAGCTAATGGTGTCTCTGAATCTGCGGAGACCTTGTTTGGCTACGATTTTCAAAATGAAAAGGTTAGCCATGTGGTGGACAATAGAACTTTGTAGACAAGTAGTTGTGCAGACAAAAACATTAAATAACCCATTACATCTGCATTGTGCTCCAATAGAATCTTCATGATGCCAGACTTCCAACTGGAGGCAGCAAGATGCAGGGCTGTGCCTTTAGAAGAAATAACATCAACACTAGCCCCTTTAGACAGCAGTAGTCGTGCCAGTCCATCATACCCTGTAAAAAAAATGTAATATAGATAGGGTCGTACTCCAGTGAAGAATTTTAGAACTTGGATATTCGACATTCCGTTGCTTCCGTGCACCTCTTTTAGGAAAGTTTAGAAACCTTAAAACAAAGTGCTTAATATGCATGGGGGTGATTTTTGTATCAGCATAAGTAATCGATGACAGTGAAGACACATATAGATGAAGATTTGGATTAGCCCATGTGCAATATGCCAATATTGACTACTTTGTTCTACGATTCTTAAATTTCCCTAAAGCATAACCATGACAAGATCTGACTCAAAAGTATACATATATTTTGTACTAAGTATAAAACTTAAAACATAACCATGCTAACACAGAGTGGAGAAAAATGTTGAATATGAAAATCATGCAGCATAATTATCCATGTCTAAGATATTGATATAATATGAGGCTCCCCACTCCCATCTCAAGTTAGCTACAATGAATGTCATAAGGAAACAAAAGGATAATGACCAATTTAGCCCATCGAATTTTGCCCAAGTGTTCCAAGTTTGGCATTTCATTCAAAATGGTCGTTGAGCCCACCTGAAGCACCATTTAGGAAACCCAACTCAGCTAATGCTTTTACTTTGTGGCAAGCTCCATTCTGAAAAATATATTATGCCACTCATGTCTCCCATAGCAAAAGAAAGAAAGAAGATGATGAAGTTCAAGAAGTAGGAGCTAAAAATAAATAATTTAAGGGAAACATGAAGAGAGGACTATAAGGTTTCGGGCAACACTTTTTCCTTTCTTTTTTATGTGAGACGTAAGGGCATAATATATTTTCACAAGGAAGCTGCCAACCACGGACTACTGCTCAGCAGTTTGATTGCCCATGTGGCACTTCGAGTGGGTTCAAGGATCATTCTGAACCAAAAAACCAATTTTGGATAACTTTATTGGACAAACAACAATTTTCAGAAACCAAACTGATCCTCAAGAAAGGCTTTAGGACAAAAATTGGCTACTATTATTATCCCAAAAAGGAACTTCCACTGTCCCAAGATATACCTACCTTCCGTTATGAGTCTGGCCAAGCACTTGTCCAGATTCATAGGTAAAAGGTAGCTATATCTTGGGATAGAGTGGGTAGGAAGTTAGGGATGATAACCAGATAAGAAAATTACGAAAATATGATAAATAATGTGGATGCATTTGTAATTCATTTCTTTCATGCAGCGACAGATCGGTACAAGAACTGCAAATATAAATGCCAGCATGTGCAAAAGGACACCTTCTTTTGTAGCATAGTGCAGAGGAGTAAAACCGATGTTGTCTTGCTTATTTGGATCAGCACCTTTGTCAAGAAAATACCTCACAGCAATTGCTTTTCCCTTGGACACCGCACAAGCCAAAGGTGTCATACCTGCCATGAGTGTTATGATCAAGCAATTTAGTCACAACAAAACATGGGGCATAAAAGTTATATAATTCAACAAAGCACATAATAGTTATATGCAGATAGCAACAATTCACAAGATACGTCAAGTCAACATGCAACAGGGGACCCTCCGCTTTAGAAAATAGTAAATTTATGATGCATATCAACCAAAACTAAATGCACAAATGAAAGGCACTAGCTTCCCGGTTTATCTGGACAATGCGCTCGATGCAATATGACCAGCCTAAAAAAATAAACATTATTGGCAGTCATATTCGTTACCCAATTACTTGGGCCTCTCGGAACATATTTGGCTATCACCACACATGTTTATATTATGTGATAGAAGCAGAACAAATATCAAATTAATAGCATACACTTTAACAAAGTGGCATGGGAAAACATATGCACCAGGAGTGAAGGACCAGTAGCCAGAGACACAATTTTGCACGACCAATAAACATCAGATAAAAACACGGAGACGAGGCAAACAAAATGGGAGAAGATATTCTTGAAAAAATAAAGACAAAGGTATTACATCAGCTGATTATGATTTCATCAATGTTGGCACACCATTGATGATCATAAAATGATCACAATACACAAGAAAAACCATGTGGCATTTGAAGCCAGAGCTTCCGGTGCTGGAGCTGTTAAGGTAAGGTCCCTTCATGATGTTCGTTAACAATTTACATCGCAAATGATCTTTGTGTTGCATCTAAAAGCTTACATTAGATGGTGCACAAAATAGTACCTAGGAGAAACATGAAAGCATTCAAGTTGTAAACTGCGATGGAACATACCCAAATCATCACTTGCTTCAGCATTGATGTCAAACCCAAGCTGCTCCACCAAATGTTTGCAAGTATCCATTTTCCCTGCGCTTGCTGCCTCATGAAGTGGCCCAACTTTCTCCGTCTCCGCAGAGTCATCAGAATCAGAATCACTGTCGCCACCTTCCATGGCACCAAACATCCCTTCAACAAGCCATTTTAAGAAGAAACACAGTAAGATAAATAATCGCTGAACAGTCTAATTATCTTTTCTCAACATGCCATGGAGTAAACCAAGATATAAATAGGTCGCCAAGAAGGGGGAATTTCCTAAACCACACCAGAGGCCTACTGACTGATTACAAAATGAGAACAAAAAATGTTTCACCAAAGGGACAGAACAACGAGCAACGAGGTTACAATATCATCAAGCTACACTAGATGCATGATATGAATAGTAAACCAGCATTGACTAGAACGAATAAAAAAAACTCTTTTTTCCCCCAAAACAGTATCGGACTACACCTATAATACTAGCTAATACAGGCACGAGGATTCGGCCTCAACCAACCACCAAACACGCATGCGTGCTTACTAACACGATCTTCCAAATCCGAACTGATCGGGAAACGAACAGTGGAGCCTAAAATAACCATGCCTTTCGCGCTAATCTTCCATGAGGAAGTAGAAAACCACTCCAACATTACCCATGCCATGCCAAAATGTTCCAGTAGCCAAAAACCCAAGCAAAACCCTAGCCCAAAATTTTTTTAAAAATATATATTATATAAAAAAAGGAGCCCTTTTTCCGGGGCGGGAGCTGGAAAGGAGAGCGTGGGCTGGTGGTGATCTCACTCATGACGCGGCCGGTGTCGCAGTCCGACGACGCGATGACGCGCCTCATCTGCTCCGCCGCCGCGGGACCTGCATCCATGCCATGGCACGGCAAGCAACAACAACAAAATTAGGCGATTTTCCGAAGCAGGAAACCCCAACCCGTGACGGATCGAAGCGCGAAGCAGCCAGAATACAGAGAAAACCGGATCAAAAAAATGAAAAAAAAAGGAAAGAAAAGAAAGCCCCGGATCGGAGCACGTACCCATGCGGCACTGCATCCCGAGCTGGGCCGCGATGAGGTGGGTGCTGAAGTTGGCGGTCGAGCCGCCGGGCACGCGCCCCCTCGGCATGGCGTGCGGGGATTAGGGTTTGGGATTGGAATTTGGGGTTTTTCTCTCTGTCCTTGTCGTTGTGGAGAGAGTGAAGCTTTTGCTTTTGGTTTGGAGAGCGAAGAAGCCTCGCGACCAAGCGGCTTTTATTTATGGGATGGGATGGGGGAGGTAGTAGGCGGGAACGTGTGGGTGAGGGGAGAGGCGGAGCGCGGGATGCACTGGATCGGCGGACGCGTGTCGGTACGGACGGCTGTGATCCACCTGGGGGCAGCCTCCGGCTACGCGGCACCCGTGAACGCGTGCTACTTTCCCTCGGTTTTGGAGCGGAAATTGGTACGCGTACCCAACTTGCTTTCTGCTGTGTCTATGTTTTTTTTTTCTGGAGGTTCCTCTTTTTATTCGCCGCGGTTTGATTATATCGAAGTAAACCTTGTTATTTCTAGCACAATGTAGCCTGTTCGGCACAGCTCCAACTCCAGCTTCACTTTTCCTGGAGTTGGAGATCAGCCAAACAAGTTCAATTCTACTTAAAATATGAGCGAAGCTTAGACCTTGTTTAGTTTGCGAAAAGAAAATTATGGGTATCACATCGGACGTTTGACCAGATGTCGGAAGGGGTTTTCGTACACAAATGAAAAAACAAATTTCATAACTTGCCTGGAAACCACGAGACAAATTTATTAAGCCTAATTAATCCGTCATTAGCGCATGTGGGTTATTGTAGCACTTATGGCTAATCATGAACTAATTAGGTTAAAAAGATTCGTCTCGCGATTTCCATGCAAGCTGTGCAATTATTTTTTCATTTTATCTATATTTAATACTTCATGCATGTATCTAAAGATTCGATGTGACGTTTTTGGGGAAAAAGTTTTGGAAACTAAACAAGGCCTTAGTGCAGCTCTCTCACATAATGAACTATAAAGTTAGAGCTGGGTTTAGACAGCTCTACAACTCCACTCTAGACCCAACTCCTGGCGCTACATTTAGGAGTTGGAGCTCTACCAGACAAGCCCGACAGCTCTACAACTCCACTCCAGACTTAACTCCTGGCGCTACATTTAGAAGTTGGAGCTCTACCAGACAAGCCCGTAATATCTTGTACCATTGCTATTTCTTCACCTATTATCTTCTCTCAACTAATCACAATCATTTTCCATTTAATTTATTCATCTTTTTTTCTCTTCTCAACCAATCACAAAACATTTCTCCTATCATTTTCACATATTTCCTTAATATCCGTGCACATTTAAAAATTAGGAATGAAAGTACCTCTCGAAATATTGAGTACAAGCACAACAAAATTGATGAGTGGCGAATTCAAAACAAAACTGGGAGTAAATGTACGTACTAATCTAAGTATTGATTGATATACTAATCAAAATGACATAAATTAAATAGTGACTAGTATATAGGAACGGCAGTGTGCCCTCTAAAGGTTAAAATCATTAGTTCTAAAAAGAAAGTAAAATCAAACAAAATGGCAACATGTAAATTGGTTAGAAGTATAGTGTGCGGCATAATGAATTTCATTTGGCTTGCCCCCTCAAACAACGAAACATTATACTTTTGCTTGAACTATCAAAACCATCAGCATAGTTAATGATATAGACCATCAACAGACTTTTCAAGGGATATTACTCAAACGTTCCATCTAACTAGACATCTATAACCAAACTGGCTCTTATCTTCGTTTGATCTTCGTTGTCCTAGAAGAGTCACATGCTTTTTTTTTTATTGGAGAGAGTTCTCCCATAATAAACTTTAACCATCTGTCTTATTTAAAATATTTTTACGATTAATATTAGTATTATTATTGAATGATAAAATATGAATTAACCATCTGTCTTATTTAAAATATTTTTACGATTAATATTAGTATTATTATTGAATGATAAAATATGAATAGTAATTTATGCGTAACTTTACTTTTATTTTTTAATATTTTTTTAAAAAATAAAACGGACAATCAAAACGTTGGACACAACAAATTATAGCACACTTATAATGAGACATATAATGAGACAGAGGTAGTACAATAGGCTACCTAAACGAAATAAGACGCAATACAATATGACTCACCAAAGAGATCACCGAATTACGATCATCAAAGAACACGCTCAGGCAAACAGGTAACAACGTTAAGTACTGGAGTATAGTAAGTACTGTTATGGCAAAACAAAGGTTCCACGTGGAATCGAGCACTTGATCCACCACCACTTCGCCGTCCTTAACCAAGGAGAAACATCATATAGACACAAGTACTAACACGAAAGTAAACCATCCAAGCTGACATTCGGGTCCAAAAGAAACAGCAGAACAGGGCACGAACACACCGATGACCTAGATTCTAATCAACCGAGCTGACGCGCCTTCCAGCCATATATTCATTCTTCATTGCTTTAGCTGCCTCCCTGAAAATGTCAACATGGGTTGGTTTCAGTCAGTGACATAATCGGCTTACTATTCTCTTGTAAACATTCCGTGCAAAAGAATCACTAACATATCACGCAGCATACAAGTAACTGAAAAAAAACATGAATTCGCATATTTTGATTCATAGAACTGTGTCGGAGGTCATTTAAGAAAATCTGTGTTTATAAAGTAAATGAAAGTAAAATAGGTACAAAGATTACCAAAATGCATTCTGCATTTCATCGCTTAAAGGATCGAGCTTTGTTCCAGCCATGAATGCAGTACAAGCTTCTTCGTATTCCTGGAATACAAAAACATAGATAAGATAATGACAAGGAAATGATGTATCACAAAATGAAAAACTTGGAAAATTTTATTTTTCTTTTCTGACCTTGAGTGCCATGTGGGCACATCCTTTGCGATAGTAACCTTTAGTCCACTCAGGCTTGAGTTTTATGCAATCATTAGCATCCAGCAAAGCCTCTTGCGCTGCACCACTTCTCAGATGGCAAAGGCTCCTGTTTGAATACAGTGTGGCATCTGCAGGATCAAGTTTCATTGCCTGCATCATACCAAACTGTGATAAGACCAATCTGTGATTCCAGAATTAACCTAGACAAAATAACAGTTCCCTATTAATCGCAATTTGATCTACAGACACTGACGTGAAGAGGGAATTTGCCTCCCAAGTTCCAACTCTTCTAGTTCACCAACAGAGGGAATTTGCCTCCCAAGTTCCAACTCTAAGTTCACCAACAGGTGGGACTACTTGGCATTGGTTGCGACCAACCTACATCTCATAATCTATTTTAGGCTTAAGAGATAGACTACTGTCCTACCACACTTAACTGGCAAGACCATCTCCACTTACAAGTGTATCCCCCACATGATGGCAATGCCATTGGAAATTCAAACTGAGTCTTCCTTTGTTAACACAGCAATAGTTCCTAGACAATAGAAGTGATAATAGTATCCTAGATGTCAACTGGGATGCAGAGACTGCCATGCTTCTGCGATGTGGTATGTGTGGAGTTGGGTTCTTTTGTGCTAATCTCTGTTGTTTATAGTTCGGGCTTGGATTATTGAAGAAATTATATCTGTAAAGAACATGTCAATTTTCCCATTGCCAGTGTGCACTTGACCACTCTCCACACTAATTGCATTCATAGCAGAAAGTGTCAAGGGCCATGCATGTTTTATGTAGTAGTGTGATCATCATCCAGGTATTATAATTCCACAATGTATTTGTCTCACAAGGATTTATTTTTTTTAAAGGCACGTAAGAATCAATAACTATAGGCTTAAAAGTGTAAATGCTGGACACAATGTTTGGCTGAAGTATTTTTGCATTTAACTTTTTGCAGTGAACCAGCTATAACAAAGGAATGAATGTGTTAATATATTTTTGAGAAAAAACTATAAAATTACTTGCATAAAAACTGCAAAAGTTAAACAATACTTAGTTATAGTGGTTTGAGCAGTAATAGATGCAAGGAACTGCAACAGGTGTGACTTGAGTTTGTAAATTGAGATATATCTTTTTGTTCTGTCCTCCGGTAATGTCCACTTGATCATGTATTAGCATTTAGCAATAATGAGGATAGCACAGGCAGCAGCACATTCCTATTGATTTTCCACCATGCAGTTTCAGCTTAGCTAGTAATAAGACCAACAGGAAGTAAAACCATATAATGCACATCTATATACCTCAGTGTAGAATATGATTGCACCCGCATAGTCACCCTCCTCAAATGCTTTTCCACCATGTAATTTCAGCTTAGATTTTCTGTCTCCATCACTTCCTTTGTCCTAAATCATTAGGAAAACATAAGTAGTGATAGAAGAGAAAAAACATAGAAGCTGAAAATCTGTAAATTGACAGAATACTAGATGCAATGTTCCTACGACTAATACCACTAACATTCTAACAATGAGCTGAATCATGGTGATTACAAACAAAAGCATAGAGAATAAATAGCCTCCTTTAGTTGCTTGCATATATACATGTAGTGAAGAACACACAGATGTATTATGTACCAAAAAAGTAGTTTCAATGTGTAATGTCCCCCAGTTCTAAAAAATAATTCCTCCCATTCTCAAATAGACGATGTTTTAGGTTTAGAATATGCTCAGGTAAACGTCAAAATCTTAGATCATTAATACATAAGCAATATTAAGACTTGATAATTGAAAATGACATTAATTTTTTCATTAAAACACTCTCATGCTGTTATATATTTATTAATTATTATATGATTAGAAAAAGGTAATGATCAAACATCTGCATTGCAAACTGTGTCGATGTCCCAAAGAGACTAGACGTGGAACATGTCTGATTCATCCCCTTCTACATGCTTTGGAGCAACCACCACTTCAAATACCAGAATTTGGAAAAGGAAAATACTTCCATATTTTGCAAACACAGATAGGTTGGTTGTACAAATGTCCATATCATAAACTCATCCATTCCTAAACTTGTTTCTACCATTGCCACTCCAAAAATGCCTTAAGCAGAGGAACAGTACAAAAATCACAAGTGCAATGCCCCTTCCACCATTTATTTGTATTGAATAAAAACCAGTACAGGATAACAGTTCTGTTTGAAATCAGCAGATTAAATCCTGGAGTAAGCATCTTATAATATTATCAATTATAAGGCTGTGGCCGATTCAAACCATGTCTAGATGGTTGGTAAAGTAACAATGTACCG